CCCAGAAACACACACACACACACACACACACACACACACATGCACGCACACACACACACGCACGCACACACACGCACACACACGCACGCACACGCACACACACACGCACGCACACACACTCATGCACGCACACACATACACACGCACACACACACGCACGCATGCACTCACGCACACACAGACGCACGCACACGCACACACGCACGCAGACACACACGCACACACAGACACACGCACACGCACACACGCACGCACGCACACACACATGCACGCATGCACACACACTAAAGTTTCTTCTATATGCTTTTTTAATTTTCAACTAATAGAAAACACTGCTCTTCTACTATGTTATGCTCACAACCTGTAAATGTATCTCTATAAGACGTCTAGAATCATGAGTCCTTTGTTACCCATAGCCACACATCTGGGGAAGACAGGAAGTGGTCAGCGTAAGCTGTTACTCTGCCCTCGTCCTTGCAAAAGCTAAACCTCTGAGCCAATTGTATGTGAGTGGGGAGAAAGTCCGTCAAGGCCCACAGAAGCACCTGTAATTTTGATGTGGAAATTACACGTCTTATAACCTATCTTGAGGAGATAATTTGTGAATTTGAAATACATTAGACAAGCAAACACTAAAAGCATCGCTAAACATAGTGAGGATTTTAAAAAATGTATCAAATATACGACAGAATGGAGTGCAAGAGCGTTAAGGAGAAAGTCAACCGGAGTGTTTTCAGTGTCACACAGGGAAGCATAAGGCAGATCATTTGTAAAATATCAGTTTTAAAAATTAAAAGATGGACCCAACACCAGACAATGAAAATGATCTTTCCATGTAGTAAATGCATGAGTAATTTTTAAACTTCCTTTCTCTGATTTGTAGATGTTGTCCCATATGTATATATATATATGTATATGTATATATTATATCAGTAAAAATAAACAGCTATAATTAAACTTAGCTCATGCATTAAAGCCTAACAAAGATAAATCTCATCCCTTGCCTTCTAGTGTCACAACTGTAGTAATAAAAAGATTATAAAATGTCTGTGAAATTAGAAAGTATCAAGTGAAATGTTTCCCAACGTATCTGAGAAAATGCACAAATATACTTATCATTCCTAAAGTACGAGGGACAAAATTTACTGACATGTTCCATATCTCTGTTATTTTATTCATTAGCATATTGCAATCAATGTTATGGAAACCCTACTTTCCAAAAAAATCCAAAGTAGTTATATAAATATTGGTAGAAATCCATGCTTTAGATTCTTTCAAATAACATTCCTGCCATTTCTTTCAGCACGTGGCATTACAAGGTGAATAATTTATCGTCTGTAAGTTATGCTTTTGATTGCTTCTTATTGCCCGTGTCAGGTGATTCATGCATTCTTAATTATTTGTTTGAAATGTTCAGAACACTGAACAGTGTCCCCAGCTCTAAAGGTCATATCCTTATCCTCCAAACCTGGAAGGATCACCCTGCAGGGCAAACACACCTTTGCACATGTGATAGAGAGCCTTGGTATGAGGGGTCTGTGTGTGAGCCCATGTGCTTTTGAGATGGGGCAGTTGGGGCAGGTGTTTGAAGAGACCTGACTGGGGAGCGGAAGTCTGAGGAAAGAGAAGACAGACTTGGAAACGGTACAGCAGGATTTTAAATGAAGCTGGTAAGGATGTCATGCAAGTGAACACCAGACAAACTGGACTCTCATCTAAGCTTCCGGAAACAACAAAGGTCTCCAGGCACCTTGATTATAGCTCTCTAAGGCTTCTGCCATCGTCTTAAGAAATGGCTGAAGAGTTCATGTTAAGGAATGCTTTCTTAGAAAGTGTGTTATCTCAGGTGTTGAGTCTGTTATACTTTATGCTGTCCTTGAAAGGAAGATGTATTATTTATGCAAATGTGTGCATGTACACACAGCAGCAGCATGAAAGTTACATATGTACATACATCCACAGGCGCTGTTTACATGCACAATAACTTGATAGAAGTGTACATTTTATTGATGCTACAAATCTCTAAGTATGAGATGGCCTTCTGCTCATCCCAAGGAATGTGGTGTCTCTGTGACCTTGCTGATATTTGCAATATACATTATGGGCCACAGAGTGGGAACAGTTTCTAGGGTGGCTCTGGATTTCCCGAGAATACAGATCCCACAAAATCTGTTTTTCCACTTCTAGAGCCTACCTGTGCTGGACAAGGACTGATCTGCTGAGCTGTGTGCCCAGCCCACATGCCAGTGTTCTTCATTAGTAACTGCTGAACTGTGTGAATTCCCTTAATCTGTTATACCCTACCAGAATATAATGACTAAATCCAAAGTCAAAGACTTTAATTATTTTTATCAAAGTGTTTCAAGAATGTTTTAATGAGGATTTTAATTCACATACAGCAATCCTTTTGATGTGTCACACTATTCGTGGTATAGCTCAAGGGCCAGGATTGAAACCCCTTTCAGTTATGACCTAAATAAATAAATGCCTCTAGTCTTGTGGTCCACTCAAAAATGAAAAAAATCCATTTTTAGCTTACACTGGCTATTTTTGAGGGCTCACTTGAAGGTCTTGTGCCTGCTCAGACCGTCACTTTGTCTTGCGTCCCTGCCTTCCAACTTGGACCCAGCCATACAATCCTTATCAAGCACATTCTTCAGGAATGCTTTCCTTCTTTCTTAATAAGTTTTGACAATACAATGTGATTATGTCACTTCCCCCTTGACTTTCCTCTCTCCAAGACCCTCCCTCATAATTCCCTGGCTTTCCATCAAAGTGTTACTGTGTGTGTGTGTATGTGTGTGTGTGTGTGTATGTGTGTGTACTATTATACATATATAATATATACATGTAATCTATATAAGCTAAATATATAAATACAGCCTGCTCAGTGCATGCAATATTACTTGTGTATGCTTCAGGGCTGATACTATCATACACATATAATACATACATGTAATGTATATGACCTGAATATGTAAATACAGCCTGCTCAGTGCATGCAATATTACTTGTGTATGTCTTCAGGGCTGATACTATCAGACACATATAATACATACATGTAATATATATGAGCTGATATGTAAATACAGCCTGCTCAGTGCATGCAATATTACTTGTGTATATCTTCAGGGATGACCATTTGGTGTGAGACAGCCGATTAGTATTCTCCTCCCCAGATTAAACTCTCAGCATTCCGTAGTTCCCTGTGGTTCCTTGTCGGGAGCTGAGACATCGCGATCTTTCTCCTTCCACACTAGCACGTGCCCTGGCGTCACCCCTGCTGGGCACATGTTTAGGCAACTGTGTGAAAGCCACCGTAGCCATGCGGCACTCATCCTACTTCGAAATTCCACAACATCGCATCCCTTCTCTGATTTTTGGATGCAGTTAGTGACATCAGCCCAGTTGCCAAGCATTCCAACACTCGCTGGGAGGAGTCCCATTACATGTTTGTCTTGGCTATACTACCCTGGCATACTGTGAAGTGACGTTAACAGTGCACCAGACAGGTAACTAACTGTTCAATGCCCTCTATCCTGAGATGTAAGCCTGACTAGCTTAATAATAGCATTTAGAGACGGAAAACACACAGCAGTTAAAAAAAAAAACACTCAAAGTTTTTAAAACGTAGTTGAGCTTCCTGATATTAAAATAGGAAATTAGTTCAACTTGGAACCCAACAGAATGCTCGCTACACTTCCGGGGAGGGTGATAAGTGATGGGGGGATGTTCTTCTGTATATGTGTCTCTTAGTAGTTGGTGAATAAACTGTTTGGCCATTGAGGCAGGAAGATAGGTGGGACTATGAGATGAGGAGAATTCTGGGAAAGGTAAGCAGGGAGAGCCCGCCAAAGAAAGTCATCATGTAGACTATAAAGGAGTAACAGACTTGGGCATTCTGCAGTAAGCCAAGACCACATGGAAATACATAATAATAGAAACGGGTTAATAATTAAGACAGAGCTAGCCAATAAGAAGCCCTAGCTATTTATCTGGCCAACAGTTTTATAACTAATATAGTGTTCGTGTGTTTATTTGGGGCTCAAGGTTGGCAGGACCTGGCAGACAAGAAAATCCAGCAACAGATAAGAGAGCATGGTGGGAACCTGTAAGCCTGGAAGAGTGCTGGGTGCTCTGTGACAGGCAGATGTCAGGATGGCACAGACTCAGCTCTCTGTCCTTTTGTGGTCTTCTCCAAGGTGACAGAAGCCTCTGATCTCCCATGTGTCTATGATCCTGGGGACACATTGTCCCACACCCTAAACTTCTCTCATCAAACAGGACCTGCCCACACACTCTGGAAACCCAGAGATCATGAAAGAACTCAGTGTCAATAATTCAGAGAGAAGATCTGAAACATCTTAGGGGATTTTAATATTTTTATCTAATTCTAATTTACAGTGACAGGGAGACCACAGGAGTCCCTAGAAACTCTGGGGCCACTCCACCTGACCCAACTCTGTGGCTGCCCCCTTGGCTGTACAGTTCTTGGCAACACAACTATTAAAGAAATAGCTGCTTCCCCGGGAGAGAAGAAATGGTAGTGGTATGATACAGTGAGTTCACATCCAGCATACGATCATGCATCCGACATGCTAAGCTGCATCCACGTGAGCTACACATATATAAAAAAAATATATGTCAGTGACTCAGAACAGACAGCAGCGTTAGAATCGACCTCTAAAAAGCCAGACATATCTTTGACTTCACACATGTATCATGTTTTATTTGATTTTTTTTAGATAGAATTACCATAGGGAGGAATTTACAGAAAATAGGAAACAGGCTATGTAAGAATGATCAAGTCAATTTTTAAAATGCAATAGAAGGAAAACAGCAAGCTGAAAATACATGTGAAATTCTGTGGCAAGGAGAAAAGGAAATATAGAATCCTTCCAGAATCATCCAGTCTGATTGCCCAGCTCTGGCAGTCGCAGGGACCAAACCAGCTTCCATGCACAGGTACGTGAGCATGCGGCCTCACTGGCCGTACTTACCCTCTTCTTCCAGCCCAGGGAAGCCTTCTTTTCTGTCCTCCACCAGAAGGGTGCCTCCTGCCTTTGCCTCTGGAGAAGCAGACTGCCCAGACATCTTGGGTCTGCTCTCTGCCAACTCTTGGGTTCTGTCTCTTGGGTCTTCCTCAGCTACATGAGCACAGCTAACCTCTGTCGATGGAGGTCCGTTGTCCTCAACTACTTTCGTGACTTCTTGCTCTTCAATCTCGGTTTCCAGAGACTCCTCGACAGGAAAGTGGAATTTTCCTCGGTCGTCATTCTCCCGAAGGTCCTGAGAGGAGGAACTTCTGGAGCTGTCCCCTGTGCTGTTCTCAGAGTGGCCTTCTACGCCCACCTCCGTAGAATCATCTTCACTTTCACTCGAGTAGGCCTGACTCCTCGATGAGACCGACGAAACGGTCTTGATATCTGCAAAAAGGGGGAAAAAAAACGGTAACACCTTTGATATACCTTAATTCATCAGCTGAAACGGAAGAAATCACACAAGTCTTTAACAAACAGATGTTGTTCACTTTCTCAGCGCATTCTGTGTTGTTATTGTGATGAAGAAAAACTGATCTACAAACCGTCAAAGTGCTTTGGTTTGGTTTGGTTTTACTTTTATTTTGTTGCGGTTTGTTGTTTCATGTTGCCTTGTTATTTTGAGACAGTGTTTCACAATGAAGCCTTGACACTCCAGGTGTCCCAGCGACTGCCTCTCAAATGCTGATATTACATGTGTGTGTACCCCCAACCCAGCTTGTTAACTATAAATATTTTTAAAAGATCACACTTAATAGAAAACCAACTTCAGGTTTGGATTTTCTTTGAGAACCTCTAGAAAGGCTATGAGTAACTTTGCTATTAGATATTTCAAATACTGCTTTTTATAAGGACACATACTTACTTCTTCTCCTGTTTAAGTTACCACAGTGGTAAATGTCAATTATCTTTATCTGCTGTAAAATCTACCACCTTAGAATACTCTGGTATCTGGATACTGGCTTTGCACTTACAAAGTAGGTAGTAAATGTTTTTAGGAAATGTGTGTATGTAGATCAAACCTTTTGGAGTCCCTATAAGCAAGATATTAAAAGGAAGCTGTCTGAGGAGAAGGTATATTGAGCACAAGCTCTAGGAGATACTCTTAGGGAGTTAGGAAGTCAGGCCAGGACGGGAGGCAGTCAGTCAATGCCCTGTTTCAGGGATCAAATTAACTCAGCTGGGAGTTGGCCTAGGAGGATATATAGTGAAGTTAATAGGGAGCTGGGTTTTCTCACTTTAAATCAGTGAGATATTGGCTATGGGCCACGCTTAGGGGATATACACTACATGGTTTCTCCAGGCATTTTATGCCCAAGCGTGAAGAGATTCCAGTAATCTAAGGCAATCCCTGGAAGAAGACAGGGTGGAGAAACCAGGAGGCAAACTACAGAGCAAAAATAGAGGCCCCAGACACACTTCCAGAGGGAGCCACAGAGATATACTAGAAACATAGAGTAGTCAAAAATGGCTTGCGCGTGAGCCCCGAAGGCTTGCGCAAACTCCCAAGAATGAACCTACATGTTGAATCTGTGTAAGGCAGAGGCACCGTGTTAAAGTCCCTGATTACATTGTTTCAGAAAAGAGAAACATGAGTTCGCGTTTGCTCTTTAAAACAGTTGCTCTGAACTCAAACTTATTTTGTAGAAAATACTTTATCTTTTGGGGGTATCAGGGACCAAACATTAGCATACAATATGACAGCAAGTGAGAACCTCCAGTGCTTCCTAGTTTTCCGGATTTCTTTCCTCTGTGTCACTTAAGCTGATTTTTTTTAATCACTCTGTGACAGCTACATGTTTGACCATGCCAGCTAACGTAGAGCTAAAGACGCAAACTAAATAAATGAAAATACCAGCCTTTCCTGCATCTTCCTCCTGTCCCTCTGACTCTGCCGGCTCCCTGTGTCACATCTTAGCAGTCTAAGTATAGCCACAATAGGCAAGCCGACGCTTCCAAGGAGACACAAGTGAGGCTTTCAAAGCACCAAGACTTTAAGCAGCAGCCTCTTCCAAAGCGCTGTCCCTGTCACCACCATACCTCGGCAAGCACCCGGTGACTCCTGCCCTCCGAGAGAATCCTCATTTGGGCCATTCACGCTCTCTGTTCTCCCAAAACTCTTAAGGGAAACAACTCCCACGTGTTAGAGGTTCTGTGGATGGCTCTATCCATTACCCCATTAGCTAGAGCACGACATTCACCTTGCACAGAGAGAGACATTTGGACTGTCTGGGCCACCTGAGTATCAGTAGGATGATTCCCACTTGGGGCTCTGTAAATTGCTGACGGTATAATAAATGGCTACCCCCTCTTCCTTTTTTAGTAGCTTCTATTAGGTATATTGTCTTATTTTGAAAGGCCGGCGGCTCATCCTGGCTCAATTTTGAGTCCGTTCAGTAAAGAGAGAAGGGGAAATGGGAGGCGCCTGACCTCCAATGCAAACTGTCTCCATTTTCAAATCTCTCCCTCATCTCCTGGTGCAATTTACTCTGGCTCTCCCTTCTTGCTCCATTTCCATACAGACCAGGGGGTGGGGCAGGGCTTAAAGAAAAAAGCTTCAGGTCCACGCAGTAGGATAGTAGGATTTCCACAATGAACTGTACTTCTCTTAGGAATAAGGCAACATTTACATATATATATATAAAACTTTCAAATAAAGCAACTCCTAGGACATACGTGAAGTTGTCATTAGAATACAGAGGCTATTGGAGGCACATTAATAAAACAACGACCTCTTGACATGTTCCACTTGTTACACAAAGTCCCTGTCCCACTGGAAGAGAGCCTGTTGCTCATCTAGTTGGCCCCAGGGAAAGATCTGTACTCAGTATCCAAAGCCAAGTGCATGCTCCCCACGCCTTCCTGTCGCCAGCAGGGTCATTGCCTCCCCCACTTCATATTCATTCAACCCCCAAGTTTCCTCCCCTTTCCATGACGATGCAGATCACACACACGGACTCACCCACCCATCAACGCTATGTGCCGAAATCCTACGTGCCAGGAAATATTCTACAAAGACAAGAGGAGCCGTTGGCCTTTGCATCCATATAGATGACCGCGTGCTCTTCAGTGACTAGTTATTTGCTTGCTTCTACAGAACAGATAACTGTGCTATTTACTGGGACGATGGCTCATGTTCCTCGCCGTCGCCGTGAGGAGCTATCAGAAAGAGTGGCTAAACTCTTCTAGCCATCAGCACCTGCTCTTCCTTAAGCCAGTGACACGGGCGAGCTTGCCTTGTAATCCTTCCCATACTCTTCAGCATGTAGTGTACTTTAAAATTTACTAGTTCCTCAGAGGCCTGGTTTTTACCTTGTTCTGGTTCTTTGTTGTTGTTGTTTAAGCTAGAACCTAAGATATCTTGGCTTAACTACGATTAAAAATGTCATCAAGCCCATGGGGCCACAACTCTTCCCAACTGTATGACTGACGGCATCTTTCTTATTACTAAGTTTGAAAAGAATCTTCACTTCACTAATCGCTCTCTCATTTTCTTCAGTTTTGGCCAGGGCACATGAGTTCATATTCACATCCCTGCTTATATTCATGAGCTTGTGAACTATTCCTACCTCACACTAGGTACCAGGGTTCGGGTGAACGATTCACGTACAGTATCTAATGACGAGTAACTGATGCTCAGTGGACATTCTACAACAGTGGCGCTCAAACTTCTTGATGCTGCTCCCCTTTAGCCACAGTTCCTCACGTTGTGGTGACCCCCAACCACAAAACTATCTCTTTCCTACTTTGCAAATGTAACTTTTCTACTGCTATGAATCATATCGTAAATGTCTGGTATGCAGGGTATCCCAATATGCTATCCCTGTGGGATTCGAAACCCTCAGGTTGAGCACCACTCTTGTAGAATGAAAAGATGTTCTAAAAATGTAGAAATACAAACTAAACTAATATGTGAGATTATCATTGGTTGTGAGATCAGGTGTATGACCTCCAATATACTGAAACTGCCACTCACTGAAATACGTCAATTCACCAGCGAGTTAAATATATACATCATCTATCTCATAAGGACATACCTACTGACTAACAGCTCTCACAGGAAGAAGGGCCCCAGATACAGCTACCTTTCCCCTGTCTGATTGGACTTGCTAACGCTGTGTAGTGAATTCAGTAGTGAGACCAGAACAAATAAATCAACATCTCACTGTGCTGCCTGAATCCTTATGCATTTGTACAATGACCTAGTCCATCAGTCTTCTTCAGAGGCTCACTGAGTAACATTATAACTATCTATACCATGTGGGTGCAAGACACATAGAGGAGCCTGGTCTGGTGGCTTCTGTTCCCAGCATGGGAGAGGCCGAGACAGCAGGATCCCAAGTCCAAGGCCAGCTTCGGCCACAGCGAGATCGCGCATCAAAGAGACGAAAACCAAAGAGAAAGAACTCATTTGGAAATATTTTAGGTGAACTAAGGGATGGTGGACATAACCACCTTTCTTGAAGCTGTGACTTCCTACTTCAGCAGTCAATGATGGGTTAAGGGACCTGAGGCATTAAGAAATGACTAACGGTGGGCTGGAGAGATGGCTCAGAGGTTAAGAGCGCTGTTTGCTCTTCCAGAGGTAGTGAGTTCAATTCCCAGCAACCACATGATGGCTCACAACCATCTGTAATGCGGCCTGGTGCCCTCTTCTGGCCTGGGCAGAACACTGTATACATAATAAATAAATAATTAAAAAAAAGAAATGACTAACAGAGGCTGGAGAGATGGCTCTATAAGTACTTACTGTGCTTGCAGCGGACTTGGGTGACTTGGGTTGTTTTCCATCACTCACTGACTGGTTCACAACTGTCTATAACTCCAGTTACAAGGCACCCAAATCCTTCTTACGGCCTCCGCAGGCATCAAGCAGGCACACGTGTGCTTGCATGCATGCAGGCAAACACTCAAGTACACATAAAACAAAAAGGAAATAATCGAATAAAGACGAGCCATTAAAAACTATCCCATAAAGTCTGTCTACACATTGTGTCTAATGTCCTCATATGGCTCTCCCCCCTTCCGAGATGTGGACGCATTTCACCCCAGTACTCAGAGTATGCCAAATAGAACGTCAACAGAGAAGGGCCCCCCCAGCCGTGTGCTTCTCTTCAAGTCCATGCAGAGTCAAGACAACAGGACCAAAATACACTGTGTACATATATGAAATCCTCAAAAATAAACAATATACTTAGGTAAATGAATAAAACCCCCAAATGGTGACAGACTATGGACACTCCCATGGAGGACCTCACCTTCCCTGGGGAAATGAGGGGGTATTGGGGGGGGTTGGTGGGAGGGCACGGGAGGAGGGGAGGGAAATGGAGACGGACCTGGAATTGACATGTGAAGCAACCTTGTTTCTAATTTAAATTTAAAAATAAAAAAAAGTTACCATCATGGAGATTTTAAGTCCATGAATAAGAGGCTCTAAAGTTAAACTCAAATGAAAAAAAAAAACCCGCAAATGGTTAAGAATCTTAATGCAAAGTAAACTGAATATTTTGTGACTCTGAGGTTTTTTTCTAAGTCTATGACATCTACTTTATCAGACTGAAAAATACATAAATGAAGTATTATGAGACAGACAAGTGCTGCAAGTCTGATTCTTTGCGTAACGTGAACCACAACGCCGTCTGTCTCCTGGTCTCTATTCTGTTTCTGCTGCCTCTCCCTTCTCTCTCGGGAGGAACTAACTTAGCCTCCACCTCCTTCTCGAGGCGTTGTTACCCACACGGCCCGTGGAAGGTGCGTTCCTGGTCACAGTGTTTTCCCCCGGCAGACTTACAGCATTCATCTCTGACAAGACATTTTCTGCTGGTAAATTAGTGTCCCCACAAATGCAGGAGCAGCAGCCATCATTCCTGTTAAACAGCAGGGAGCTGCCCACGTCAGTCCAGGAGCAGGGCCGCCTCTTAGCCGGCTTCTCCTCCATCACTCAAGGGCCACTCCACAGTGTGTTCATCAAAGTGTGCAGGGCAATTGCTGGCCGGCCGTTTAAAACGGGGATGACTTGTCATGAGAGTGACAGCCTGGGCAGCAATTGCTTGCCCCTGGGAACAGGTGCGGGCAGGTTCAAATGAAACACATCCAAATACTAACAGCAAGACTCTTAATCATGTCAATAAAAGGGATGAGCAGGTGCCTGGGACTCAGCGCCCATGCTATGCCTCTCACGCTCCTGCGGGTGGAATGCCGTGTTTCCCATGAAATCCACAGCAAGATATTGTCATTTTTAATAAATGCTATGTATTAGCCAGACGAAATCGCTAGCTCTTACACGTCACATACTAAGAGGCACATTTCTGAGTAACACAAAGGAATTTGATTAAAATAAGGGGTCAGGAAGGCCTCCCAGGAGGCCTCTGAGAGGACATGCAGACAAGCAGTGAGATGATTGTATTTCAGAGCATTGGCGATGTGGCGATATACATGCACGACCAGGAGGCCTTTGAAGGGACACTTTGATAATTCCGTTATTGAAATGACAAGAGAAAGAGAGCTTGCCAGTTCAGTTCTGTCTCGGGAATTTCCCAGCATTCGTGAAGTGACTGTTCTGATAGCTCTCATTCTGTAACTAGTTAAAATAGTATATATGCTGCCTCCATGAAATTCTATGTAACTGTTTCAGTAAATATTCTGTGAACATTGATCGGGGATCACGAGAGTACCTGAGGATGCATCATGTCAATAGACCTTTTAAAATATGTACAAAACCTCTTCTATCCTGGCTTTCTTAGCACAGTTTTTTGCTCTATTAGCTTGTGTCATTTGAGAGACAAAATTTAATACACCGTGAATGTCTGACAACTGACCTCCTGTGGGATAGTGTTTAAGGGCTTAGCATGACACCTTGCAGGGCCTAGGGATGGAGAGCAATGTTTCTAGAAAGGACAATCTAGGGGAATTCAGAAACTCTTGCTTTCAATTCCTCTTTGTAAAAACAAAACTGGCTAAACGAGGAAACGGAGGTAGCAAAAGAATTCAAAAAACCCTCTGAACCATAGAAACTCCAGGAAACAATTTCTTTCCACTGGGTCAAAGGTTTGATTTAATTGTAGGTAGATGCGTATGCTCTGACGTTGGAAATTCTATCTTTCCTCTGAAGCACGGGTTCTGAAGTTTGGTTATAATCGCAGCTGAATTGCAGATGCTTTCCAGCCATGTGACTTTGAAATCATCTAAATTCACAGTTTGGAAGTTTGCATGTTGTAAAATGTGGGTAAGAGGGGAATGTAATAGCTTTTAACGTTGTTTGAAGTGAATGGGGTAGTTCGCCCAACGTGCTTATTGTGGGGCTCAGCACACAGGAGAGTTTTAATATGCAGGAGTCATTATTTGAGCCACAGCACTGCCACGCACTGGAAGCCTTCCCAGGCAGGCACAGGTAGGCAGAAGCCAGCACCAAACTCTCCTGTCAGCTATTCAGTAATCGCAGCTCAAGTATCAAAGCTCTCCCTGCAAGGAAGCTACAAGACCTGCTCATACCCTTCTCTTGGTGAACATAAAAACTTACTATATTAGGAAACACTCTACGTGCCCTCCAGAAAAAATGCTCAGGCAACTAGATAGCCAAGGAGTTCATAGAATCTTTGTGAGCACAACCACAGCCTAATAATTTCACACTATTAAAGCAGATGTGAAAACCCAAGCCATTTGTGTTCTGAATTGCTTATACTAATAGCCAAACACATTTTAAATATATTTACAGACAAGTCACTTGGATAATTTCTTTGAAAATATCGACTAGGATGAAACTTTTTTTTCTATAAGATAACACCATTTTCTAATGAATTATTTGGCTTTGAGTCGTAAAGCACTATAAACTAAACTCCATATGTATATTCAAGCTAAGACAAGACATTCCATTTTGCACACATTTAGTGTAAGAAACATAAAATATAAAAATCTACATAAAGTATCCATCTCAACATATTAAAATATTAAATGCTTGAGCACTGTAATGAATGCATGTCAATCTTGTTTGCAAATGTACGGGGTCATCTTCAACCTGCATTCTGATTTTTCTCATTGTGTTTCATTCACTCTTTACCCTCTCTCTCTCCTCTCTCTCCTCTCTCTCTCTCTCTCTCTCTCTCTCTCTCCCTCCCTCCCTCCCTCCCTCCCTCCCTCCCTTGTATATGCATAGGTGCTGAAATAGTTTGAGATTATAAGGATGTAGCAACTTTCTAAACAGAACACAAATCACTACAAACCTAATTTGACATCTTGCCAAAATTTCCCAACTAAGAAACAGGGGTGGCTGGCTGGGACTCCCGGGTTGGGTAATTACGGGTCTCTGTCTTATTAGCCCTACAGAAAGGCAGGTTGCAAGCACGCGGTGACACACTCTGCCACCTGCCTTGTCTATCCTCGTCACTGTCCAGGCATCCGTCGTCCTCGCGGTTCTCATTGTCGTAGACATCTGGTGCCTTCTCTGAAGAGATCTCAATCTCCGTTCCCGGGCTTGGATTGTGTGTTTCTTCTTCGGTGGGTGACTTGGACGTTCGGCTCACCTGATCTCCAACCTCATCCCCGTCGTCAGCTACCTCGTCTTGCTTTTCCTCATCTATTTCGAAGTCTTCTTCGTAGTCTGAAAGAAGAAACCCCGTGCTGTAAACAACGAAGAAAGAACCCGTTTCACTCTAATGAGGACTCTGGCTCCGCTGTCCTGTCTTTCCTGGGTCCTTCTCTGCTGCTTCTGCACACCGTTATGGAACAGGGAGGACTAATGGTGAGTGATGGAAGACTACGTTCAGCTACCCACCACCGCCGCCGCACAAAAAAGAAATGGAACCCCAAATGACAAGGTTGGGAGCTGATAAAGGTTCGTTTACAAAGGGACACTACCACCCCCCCCACAGTAGCCAAGACAGAAAGATGGAAACTTCATATGAAAGAATGAATTAGAAGTAAATTGGAAATGAGGAAGATAGGATTACAATAATGGGAGTTAATCTGGAGACCTAGTGAGGTCATATTTCATATAAAGATTGCTCAAAGTATTTGGATATCAATCTAATGAATAGTGAAGCGGAAAAATTCAATTAATCACATCCAAAGGACCTGAGCGACAGTGTGTGAATAGCATGTTGAGAACCTAACGGACAGTGAGAAAAGATTTAAAGATAATTTTATAGCTGAGCCAGAACAGAAACCGAGCACCGTGCTCATTCATACGACGCACAAAATAATCACAACTCCGGGATAAAGGGTCTACAAAAGCAGAACATTGCTATCCCAGTCTCAAATTTACTTCATTCCCTACAGGGATAGAGCAAATTTGTACCAGGAAAAGCAAATTTGTCACATCATATGAACTCCAGCTGTCGCTCGCGGTTATAATTTTTCACCTTTCATATTTAATTGTTTGCTCTTTATTCCCCACCCAAAACTAAGAATCTCAAAGTGACAGCAGCATGCCAAAGACAGACAGCAAGAGTCTCTCATGCAGAACCAATTAAAGTAAACAATTGCCTTCAATCTGAAAGATACAGGAAAATAAAGATTTCCCAATTTTTTATGTGTTTTCATTGTTAGATACCCCAGATTTTTTCAGTGGTGGGGCCCCCTGGCTAATGTACTTGAGAACTGCCCACCCGAAGCAACCAAAGAAAGTTAATTTCGAAATGAGTGCCCTGGCAATGTCATCGTTGTTACTTCCACTGTGCAGGTGTGTGTGTCTGAGTGTATTTCCATGCATGTACGTATTTGTGTGGGGGAGAGACTGAGACGGAGGAGTAAGAGAAGAGGGAAGAGAAGATGAGAAGAAGGAGAAGGGAGGGGGAGAGAAGAGGAGGGGAAGAGGCAGGAGGAGATAGCAGAGAGAAACACAAGACAAGACAGGCTCTGAGACACTGAACTGAACACTAGCTGCTTTTGGGGTGCAATGTCCCAGCACCAGATGCTTATACAGATTTGTACTTACCAACCCCAGTGTGGACAGTCATGCTACTCCTACAACTGTATCCAAACACTAAACAAGCAGACAAAGTTCTGTTTGTTCAAGTGGTCTCTACAAGAATGAATTCTGATTCTGGCTAGCAGGACAGAATCATTTCCTCACTCCCACAGAGAGGGGCCTCAACACTTCTGGGACCAGGATACCTCTCAGAGAAAGAACCTAAAGCTCCACAGGAAACTACAGTAAAAGGACCATGGCACGGCTGCCTGCAGATCAGCTAAGCAACCTCCCTGCAGATCATTCTGAAAGATTTGAGTGGCATCAAAGACAAGTCAGCAGCTTAGCGGTGGCGGCGGCGAGGGGCGTCGCTCTTGGTTACCGTATTTGAAAGTGTTCTCCTGGTCCTCTTCCCAGGCATCCTGTTCAGACCTGCCCTTCCATTCCATTTCCTCTATAGCCGTTCTCACTTCTCTGACTCCTGATTTTATTTCCTCGGCTGAACACGTGGCTGAGACCGAGGCCTCCTTCCTCCTCTCCATCTCGCTCCTTCTCGATGATGCATTCTCTCTGTCCTTCCTCAGTTTCCCCTGACCCCGCCTCAGTGGCTCCTCCCTTTTCTCAGCTGTCTTTTCCTTCCTAGGTTTTGTCGGCGATGGCTTTCGGTCAAGGCCCATGGCGATAATGCACCTGTAAGAAATACCAGCATGAAGGTTTTATTACGCTGTATAGTAAGTTGGCAGAGTCACGCACTTTATAACTCATGTATATCATATCCTAATGAATACTATGAGAAATAGTCTACTTGTGTGCTCATACATTGATTTAAAATGTGCCACTTTATTTTAATGTGAAAATCTTGCATATGAATACAAATTCTTCTGCGGGGATGGGTATTCAAGACAGGGTTTTCTCTGTAGCTTTGGAGGCTGTCCTAAAACTTGCTCTGCAGACCAGGCTAGCCTCAAGCTCACAGAGATCCCCCTTCTCTGCCTTCCCCCAAGTGCTGGGATTAAAGGTATGCGCCACCACTGCCAGGCTGAACATATATTCTTTTTTTCTTTTTTTTTTTCTTTTTTGGTTTTTACGAGACAGAGTTTCTCTGTATTGTTTTGGAGGCTGTTGGTCCAGCCTGGCCTCGAACTCACAGAGATCCGCCTGCCTCTGCCTCCCGAGTGCTGGGATTAAAGGCGTGCACCACCACCACCCGGCCTGAACATATATTCTTAATTTTAACCACAATAGCAAAACATTTTAAAACTTATCATTAACTAAGAGCTATAGTACCAGATGTTTACAGAAATCATATCTTGAAGTAGATAGGCACATAGGTAGTGATCCAATGGGTATATGACAGATAGGTAGGTAGGTAGATAGATAGATAGATAGATAGATAGATAGATAGATAGATAGATAGATAGATGATTGATAGAAGAGAGACAGACAGACAGACAGACAGACATCTGTCCTTAGGTATTATATACCCAAGGGGCTGGAGAGATGACTCAGCAGTTCGGAGTTCCTCCTGTTCTCACAGAGGACCAGCAGATGCAAGTTTGGTTCCCACAGTATGGCTTGGATCCCCCATAATCACCCAGCTCCAAGGAACCCAATATCTTCTTCTGGCCCCTGAGGTCACCTACACATGTGTGCCATACACTCATGTGTACACACATGAACACAAACATGTAAACACAAATAAAGATGAAGCTTTTAGACAAATACTTCTGCAAATAATCTGGAAAAGAGACATTGGTATCTTTGAAACTCATAATTCTAAGAACATATAAACAACTATGATTTATTTTATGGTCCATTCAAAATGTGTGATTAGTTTTTTCTTTTAGAAACAATCAGTCTACTGTTGTTGTTGTTCCCTTCAAGTAACGTGGGAGTCTGTGTATTTTTTTCCACGGGACTTCCACGGTTGACTTTAAGAAATTGCCTTTTGAAGCCTCTGCAATGTCCTGTGGATCCACTGGTGGTAAGCTTTTATCGGTCACACACAAAAAAATGGACACAATCTATAGAAGCCATTGCAAGTCACATTTGATGAGCTACCTAGATGTCTTGAATGGATCATCATGAAGGTTTTAAACTGTTATTACACAGTGGTTTGTGAACACACTGTCATGTGTGTATGTCTTTTTCTATCTTTCAAGAGGTTGTCAGCGTAAAAGTTCCAATACTTACAGCACATCAACAGAAATGATTATGGTGACAACCGGTCATTGAAATTTCCCCTGTCTGTGACCAAGCTCTTTGCTATGGCATTAAAGATACGGTATTTTTTAAAGATTTGTGTGTGTGTGTGTTTGTGCATGGTTTACATGTGTGTACATGTACCATATAGGTGCAGATGCCCACGGAGCATAGAAGAACATATCAGATCCCAGATATGGGATGCTGGGAACAGAACCCAGGCTCCCAGAAGAGCAGCAAGTGCTTTTAACCACCGAGTCACCGTCTGGCCCCATAACCAGTATCTTACGGGATTCAACACCCGGCATTATAATAAATCGAGACATTATCACCATTGTACAAATGGAGGAACTGAGGCAGGAAAGGTCCCATGGTTTCCCCGAGATCACTCAGCAAGTGAGTGATGGAGCTCTGTGACAGTTCCGACTGACTCACTCCACTCCACTCCTTCACGGAGCTCTGCTGCCCCGTGTGGCCCTACAATGATTGGTGACAAGGAAAAGACCAGAGACCTCACTCATGTGTTCTCACTGGGACGTGCCCTCCAAAGCCTGAAGATAGCGCATGCACAGATGTTTCTGAGGCCACTCATCTCTAAGCCACGAGTGTCCCTCTCTCCCTGCCAGACCATCTCCGGACTGCATCACTGGCAGGAGGTGGGGAGGGTTGGGGGTAGGGGGTGGTGGCAGAGCACAGTCTGGCACAAACAATAGAAACCACAATAAAAACTGGAAACTGCCTCGACCCGAACCAAATCCAAGGACAATTTCTGATGTACTTACCCTGTGTACATGTGCGTGTATGTATGTGCATATGGCGTGAGTGTGGGGGGAGGGGCGCGTGGGTACACACATGCTGTGGTATGGATGTGGAGATTGGAGAAAACCCTCCTCGGGGCTTGCTCTGTGCCTTCCCGTGACCTGGGGAGCTGCCTGTCTGCATGCCCATCTCACTGCTGAAGGAAAACAGTGCAGTGACCTCATCTGGCTTGGAATGGCTTCAGGGCACCACTGAGGTCCTCATACCCGGGCAGCCACTGAAGCATCTCCAGGCACAAGCGCAATCTCCTACACCGAAGACTTGGCTGAATCTCCCAGCCATCGTTGGCCTTCAAGGAGCGTGGAAATTGCTCTTGACCAGTTTCCCCAGAGAAGGAATAACCGAGTTCTTTCACGAAACGCTCCAGCGTACCCCTACGTGATGATGCTGAGAGGGCTTGCTCTGTGCTTAAAGATCAGGCCGTCAGATGCGAGGGGCTGAGAACCAAGCGTCTCGCCCAAATTAAGCACGGTAAAAGGGCTTTTCCCATCACGATGATGTGTTTAGTGCGTGGATCCCCCCCTCCCTCCGGCTAAAGACACCGCGCATGTTCGCAGGATTCCCTTATTAGCCTCGCCTTCTGTGCAAACATTTCTTCCTTGATGGGTGGCAATGGCAAACCCAGTGCCTGAAGCCTGCGGTTCGCCCCCCCTCCCCGTTACTTTGAATGTAAACTGTGGCTGTGTAAAGGCCTGGAAACCTCCCTATCACAAGCTCGGGCTTTTTTAGAGCCCATCTGCCAAAGGGAATTGGACCAAGGAGTAACATCTGGCTCCCCCATCCCTGACTCCCTCTCTTTAACTTCTGAGTGTCATTCAAAGCGCTGGCTCTGACGACGGGAGCTCAAATAAATTACTGGAATGTCTGAAGACTTCTCCAGCGGAGCGAAGTCAAGTAAACAGGAATCTAGACTTGGCCAACCATCACTACCCATTTGTACCACTATGAGAGAACCTTTACCTCACCTGTGACAGGGAGACAGCAAAGAAAGGAGACCACGTCAAACATCATTCACTGATGTCTTTGCAGGAAGTGATTTTGAAGCTAATTTTAAAAAAAAAGTGTAACTATTCCCTAAGAGCCATAAGTAAATCACTTGAAGGTGAAAGGAGGCCTTAATCTTTAATAACTGCTTTCATATTCTTGGAAAGAGCAAGAGAACAGACAGGTCGTGTGTTAAAATCATGGAATGACAGAGGAACTAGAAAGTTCCGTGTTAGGAGAGTGGTTCTCAACGGCCACGTGGTGGTGCCGGTTCCTGGTCCTTCAAAGAGAGACCTCCGGGCTTAGTGGCCCAGTTTGCAATTACACAACAGCCCACAGGGAATATTCTGTGTGTTGGTTTCTTTTCTGGTGCTGAGAGAGAATCCCCCCAGTGGAAATCAGCACAGGGGAAGAAGGGGTGGGTTTAGCTGACCCAGTCCCAGAGGACTATCATGGCAAGGAGGGTCTGCAGATCAGAAAGCAGAGGCCTCACCTTCCATCCATACAGGGAACACACAGGGCAAACAGGAAGTGGAGCCAGAAAGTCCCTCCCCCTAGCGCCGTACTTTCCTCCAGGAAGGCTCCTTTCCCCCTAAAGTTTCAAGTACCTTCCCAAACCAACTCCACGTGTTCAAACACGGGAGCCTCGCAGGGGACATGTCTCATGTGACACCCTGCCTCCACACAGATGATTGCATGTAAACTCATTTATTTTCCGTAGAGTTCAGTAGAAATCTCTGAAATGATTTGCACACAAATAGGGCATCTGAACAGAAAACAGAAGGCTGTCCGGTGGGCGCTAAGCCCCAGCATCACCCAGCATCAAGTGTGAAAAGTTCCTTTCGGTTCTTTCTGTTCTGTTATGTTTTTTGGTGTGTGTGTGTGTGTGTGTGTGTGTGTGTGTGTGTGTGTGTGTGTGGTTGCTTTTGTTGTTGTTGCGTTGTTTTTGTTTGTGTGTTTTTCTTTTTCCTGTATCAAGACAGGGTTTCTTTGTGGAACAGCCTGGCTGTCCTAGAACTCATTCTGTAGACAGAGATCTACCTGCCTCTGCCTCCTGAGTGCTGGGATTAAAGGTGTGTGCCACCACTGCCTGGCAAGAAAATATTTCTTATTCCAGAAAACGGCAGGGCTGGACAGAGCTTCCTAGTAGGGGCCAGCACAGAAAGCTTTTCTGGAGGGGATCTTCCCTTTGAAATGTGGTAGCCGTATGGTGCTGTCCTCGTTTTTTTTCCTTTTTTAATTGTTGCTGCCTTTTAAGCCACGGCTGTCCGAGTCAGCCGCTGCAATTCTGCCGCCGTCAGCTGCAAAAGCCACAGCCTGAGAGAATTCTTTTCCCTCAGGCGCCGGCTCTGTGAAGGCAACATAACCTAAATCTCTGTCCCTCTAAAGAACTCAAGATTCAAAGGCCGAGGTGTCGTCTCTCCTCTTTTATCAAGACTGAAAATTCTGCTTGAAACCCTCCATCCCAGTTTCTCAAATCTACCAGAGGGTTAAACTCTACCAGCTTCCCTCTTTATGTCTCTTCAGGTTCTTCCCGTGAGCCGGCACTATCTATCAACATAAATTCACGGCAAAATATCCCATTTCGAAAACTAAAAGGCCCTTCAAACCCTCTACAGTCCTGGAAACCGTACTGCCGTGGAATATTATTTCAAGGTGTGTGGGGTTTTTTTGTTTGTTTGTTTGTTTTGTTTTGTTTTTGTATGCTTGGGAACATTTGTCCAATGATGCAAAGATGTGCTTGCATCCTGTGCTCCTGAGGCTGGGTCAGCAGCTAGCTGACAGGAAGCAGCAGGGAGGAACCAGGTGGAGAAGGGTTTTCAAGGAGGGGTGAGGCAGCACTTGAGGGCTTCTGAAGAGGCTGGAGCAGAAGGAGGTGAGCTACTTGCCGTCCAGCCCCTCTGAGGGGCATAGTTTCCACCTCGGCCTTTGAATCTTGAGTTCTTTAGAGGGACAGAGATTTAGGTTAACTTCCCTTCATAGAGCCGGCGCCTGAGGGAAAAGAATTCTCTCAGGCTGTGGCTTTTGCGGCAGAATTGCAGCCGCTGACTCGGACAGCCGTGGCTTAAAAGGCAGCAACAATTTAATAAAACGAGGACAGCACCATGCGGCTACCACATTGCAAAGGAAGATCCCCTTCCAGAAAAGTTTCTTTTCTGTAACGTGATTTCACTCACTGCCCTGTGAGGCCTCTGTGACCCAGCTGGCAACCCGGCCACCTTCCTCGATAACTTGTCTCAAGGTCACCATTAAGCATCCCCGAGTTGATGGTCAGGCTCCAGTGGGTTGGGTAGGTAGGTCAGAGTGTCAACCCGAGGGGATTAGGCACCTGCGGTATCAGTGAGGACTTTTCCTGAGAGAATTAACTGAGGGGGAAAGACTCGTAATGGGAGGGACAATCCCACAGGCTAGGGTCTGGTTAGCACCATAGTCCATCTCTCTTGCTCCCTGGCTACGGATACCTCTGCACACTCCCGTTTCTGTGCTTCCTAGACCACGATGCCCTTTACCTCACACCCTGGGCCCCAAACTAAAACCCTTCCTCCCTGCAACTCTTGCCAGGTATTTGTAGGAGAGACTGCACCCAGCCTACCCAAGCCGCAGGTGCTCAGGCCAGCCTAAGTGAGCGTGGGAGGCAGGCAGACACTTTCTCCCTGAGCCAAGCTTCCCTCTATGCCCAGAGACTGCTGACAAGAGAGACACCTGACCCAGAGACACCAATGAGGAAAGGACAACGCAGCAGAGTCAGCCGCCTGAGCCCATAGGACCTTGGGAGTGGGTATAAAGTCAGGTCTAACTTCCTTAATAAAGCAGTCTGCAGCACGCTCTGCTACTCACTGACTCCTGGTGCCTGAGTCCTTGGTGCTGTGTTTCCTCACCCGCGCCCCCCCCCCCCGGTCTCCCAAGGGGCGTCCTAGCAGGCCATCAGTGTGAAGAGACAGCGTCCCTGTCTTCATTGCACTAACATGTAACCTGTCCACACATTTGGCCTTCATTAGCCACTGCCTCCTTCGTCCACCATCTTATTTCCAAGATAACCCTCCCTCGGGGGTTCACTTTCAAGAAGTGACTGTCCCTTTCTTCCTGGGACGAAGCTCACACTGGTCAGGAGTCCTCATGATCTTAAGAGCCCATGCCATCCTATGACTTTACCACTACATAACTGTTCTCAACTCGGTCATGTCACCTCCCTCGAGATTCAGTACCCAGCCGACTACTCATCGGTACCGCCGACTGCGTCATCTCACAGAAGTCTAAAACCGTGTGTGTGTGTGTGTGTGTGTGTGTGTGTGTGTGTGTGTGTGTGTGTGTCCAAAGCTAAAATCCCTTCCTGTCCAACTGCATCTTCCACATTTTAAGATGTATTTATTTATCATGTATACAGTGTTCTGCCTGCATGTCTGCCGGCCTGCAGGCCAGAAGAAGGATGGTTGTGAGCCTCCGTGTGGTTGCTGAGAATTGAACCCAGGTCCTCTGGAAGAGCAGCCAGTGCTCTCAACCACGGAGCTGTCTCTCCAGCCCCCGGCAACTGATCTTAAATACACGCTAAATGTACATTTTCCCTGCTTCCCGGATCATAGCAACTTTGATTCTTCTCGATCTTTTCAAGTCTTCCCTTAGAAGCCACCACGGGATCATCACAGAGCATCACCCAACACCTGCTTCAGAGACTCTAACTTCGGAGTCAAAGCCAGAGGCCCTGGAAGGACTCCGGGACTTCTCAGGACTCGTCCCCACTGCCTCTCTGGCCTCTGCTAACATTATTCCATGCATGGCTTGGCTCCGATCACACAAGTCGAACACACCAAGGACGCTGCTTCCTCTGCCCTCCCCATGGGCCTTCCAGTTGAAAAGCTGTTTGGAGGAAGAAAGCTTCTTTCTGGTTTCTGTCCCAAGGAAGTCACAGGGTTGCTTCTTGTTTATGTTACATTGGACGGAACCCCTCCCCAACCTGGTCCTGCTCACTCCAGTAAATCCCCTGCCTTGTTTCCTTTCCCCCTTCGTGCTTATTTTATTAGACCTGTATCGATCAGATTATTAGTATATTGTCCGTCCCTCCCCCCCGAGGGAAACGGAAACAGTGTCATTGTTTCGTGAATGTTTTGTGTTCCCGTTGGATACTTAGTCAATTCTTCAGGGATATCCTGAGGCAAACAAAAAGAAGCCTCCGAGTATGAGTCCAGACTCAGACAGGCTGCCCTGCATAAAAGTTGATATCAAAGAACAGTCGTGACACCCTACTATCTAAACCAGGGCAAGGAGATAAAATCAGGTAGCCTGGGAGTGTGTGTAGACATGTTTCCAGCTGGCATAGCCTGGAGTATTCACAGACACAGGCAGATGACGGCATACCGCATAGGTGTGGGGGGTTAGCCTCGGGCCATTAACAAGAGTTAACAGGACAGAAATGAAGGAAAGTGGAATTTGAGACCGGGTGAAGGAGAGATGAGAATCAAGACAGAATTTACAACCTCACAGCCTTTATCTCCTCTATATGGCACATCTGGAAAACCGGATTCTGTTTTGTAATTTCAGTCACACATCCATGGCTGTAGTCCACAACCTTCAACTAGGTTTTTTTGTTTTTGAGATTGTATTATACCGATCCCAGTTCTTTGAGAACTGTGTGGAGAAGAGCGTCAGTGAAGGGAAACATGGCCAAAGCGGTCGGCCGCGCCAGCAGAGGGCGCAGGCTTCCATACCTGTAGCAAGGAAATGCCTTCTCCACGCTCACAAACCCGAAGTAGCCTCTCTTGCCTCCCAGCCTGGAGCTCCTACGGTGTTTGTACTCGCAGCAGGAGCTGAGTCTGTTCACCTGGATCCCATTCAGAAAGAAGGTGAGACTGAAGGGGAAGCCATGGTGCCGTTTGGAGATAAACTGAAAGGTGTCTGGGGAGCAAAAACAGGAGATTCTGAGAGCACCTGCCTTGTAAGCACCTGTCTTATAAATCACAGTTTTCTTATTCAAGAATTACTATTATACTACAGAACACACATTTTATCTGAGAACTTTTTTTTTCTTTACTGGAGTGAAACCAGGACCCCACAGGCTGTGCTGGACCATCTCTGTGCTGCCAAGCTCAGTTGGTCAAACGCGTTGCTCTGAGCAGGTGAGCCCAACCTGGATCCAAGGGTGGGGGGCTCATGCTTATAATCCCAACCTTGGGGAAGACAGAGACAGCTGCACCATGGGGCTCCCTGTCCAGCCAGTTTAACTTAGTTGGTGAGCTTCAGAGCAGTGAGAGGCTCTGACTCAAAGGAAACAAGATGGATGGCACCAAGATCACCTTCTGGCCTCCACACACATCCACACATGCTTGAGAGCCCCACTGAGCGCACACACACACCACAGATCTTCACATAACGAGTGTTAACATTTTAACAATGAACACTCTAATCACGATGCCTAGATTGGTGAGAATTATCTCAGCTCCACGCTACACTTACTTCTGTTTGCATTTGAGATTCTTTTTCTCCCTGCTTCTTAAAGCACCCGACCAAGAAATTAACAATTTGGGTGTTGGTGATGCAGTTTTGACCACTCCAAGTCTTTTTCAGCTCTCTGTAATACGGCTCCACCCTGGAGATGCTCAACATTAATGACCCAGAATCCCGATGCACATGTCCCTTCCAGGGGGCTCTTTAATGGGTTCCCCCTCTCAGACAAGGCATGCATTACCTAACACGGTTCTCATTGCAGTCTGCTAAAATACGGCTGTGCTGGAGGTCTTTAAGCTTTGATGTGCGGTGGAACCACCTGAGGGTAGTATTAAAAGACAGGCGACTGCCAGCCCTTTCCAAAAAGTTTCTCTCTCAAAACGGTTGCAGCAGAGCTGAGGACAAATTCTGATTTCTTTTTTTTTAATTGCACTTCCAGTAAGTTTGTGGGTGCCGTTGGTGGGGCCTCACTTGTTGGGAGCCCCAGTTCAAGTGCGTTGTGTATTCCTAAGACCTGTGATGGCAAGGCTAGCATGCTCATCTTGGTTCCATCAGATCCCACGACAGTGGTAAAGGAGGCCCCGAATCATCATCAATTTGTGGACCATGATTCTAGCCTCTTTCCTGTTCGGTTATTGAAGGTGTCTCTGATTAGGCTACTGTCAGCCCAGACAACTTCCCAAACCAAATGCAATTTGTCTTAAAAATAAAATAAAAAATTAGACCCAGAAAAGTCCCATCCTGAACGTATTATTATTTGTGATGGGAGTTTAAACTAAGGAGAAGGGAAGCATCTTGAAAAGCTAAGACACATAGGCCTGGAAAGTGGACCAGTGTCAATGGTAAGCATGTTCCTCAATCAGGTGCTAGGAAGGCAGTTAAACCTCTTTATAGGCTGAACCTGCATCCGCATACTGCAATCCCTTGTGCTCAGCACCCCCTAAGTACCCACCAGAAAAAGGTACACTCAAGAGATCAGGAGAGGAGCTGGGGAGGTAGCTCAGCATTCAAGAGTGTTTGCTGCCTTTTCAGAGGACCGGAGTTCAGTGTCCACATCAATCAGGTGGCTCACAACTATCTGTAACTCCAGCTCCAGGGTATCCAGCACCATCTGGCCTCACTCAGCACCTCCACCCATGTGGACATACACACATAAAATAAAAACAAAACAATCCTCAAGGGGAAATTTAGGGAAAGGACACAGCGGATCAAGTGCCAGACACGACAGCCCCCCCCTGCCGTGCCCCATCCACCCTGGTACCAATGATTTGACTATTTTCATCATTTCTAAACTTAATGAACAAGATTCTGTGTCCTCTGCCTTTATCTCTGCTTGTTGTATAATTTTATATCCTAACATATTTTGACTTCTCCCATCCCTGAGGACGTGGTGGCTTCTTCATGGGGCAGTCGGTGGAACGCCGAGCATCCCGTCCTTCACGGATGAACTCGGAGATGACAGGGAGGTCCCCAGCCTATCCATCTCGTACTATGCGTTATTAGATCGGGCGTTGCTGTGCTTGCAAAGCCTGGGTGTTTGCTGTTCACTGATGACAGGTAGCACTGGGGTGTTAAAGGAAAGAAGATACTAAGTATGGAGGGATAGATAAATAGATGATAGACACAGAGATAGAGACACTTGTGTGTAGAGAAGTCTCCTCCTTCAAGAACCTATAATTCAGCAACAGAGGAACAATGCACTGGATTATGATAAAGTAAGGGCATCAAACCCTCTTTCCTTAACAATATGTCTTCGGAAATAGACCGGCAACTAAAGTTGGCAGCATATGATTCATGTAAAAAAAGAAATCAGACTTCACAAGAAAACAGAAAGAGCCTGCAGCCTTCTGCCCGGGACTTCGCATGCCCCAAACCAGTGCTCTAAGTGGACAGAGGATGGTGAAACGCCCAGAATCTTCCAGTCCGTGGAGCCTGAGGTCATTTGGTGCAGGAGACAACAAACCCTTGGCCTACGACATTTCCACTAATAAGTAGCTCTCTCCAAGCAGCACACGCGGAAGGTCGGAGGTTCCCCAAGACTAGAGCCTTAATTAGTGAAAGCCACAGGCCAGACCTTAACAGGGAGCCTCTGGCAATGAGGCTGTCACAGCAGCCTTCCACAGCTCTCTACGCGGCCTATGATTTCAGGATGCAGCCTGGGTCAGAGTGGACGTGACCTCTTTCATGAATTCCAGTCTCTGCATGCATTTTCACCGATGCACAGGCCAAACAAGCGAGTCTGGTGGGTACCAGAGCTGGGGCATGAGAACTCTCAAGGCTTGGACGTTTCCCTGGGCTCACTGGGGTTCAGGGTCACTCAGAACTTCCAGGTGACTCTCTGCTCAGGCGTTTAGATCTCAGAGATACCATTGATGAAGGTTTAGGGGGAAGGCATTCTTGCTGTTGGTTTTTCCCTACATCTGAACCTGATGCTCTCACAAAATAAAAGAGAGGTACACATACGGGAAGGAGGCAGACGAGACAGACGCAGACACTGCAGTGACAACGTTGGTGCCAGCAGGGTGGCCAGGGTGGCCTGGGTTCCTCGGAGAGTCAGAATCGGGCAGATTCGAGGAAGGCTTCTGTCCTAGAGATCTGCAAGAAGCCCAACCCGGCATCATCTTCATGATTTGGGGCTTCAGGCCCCCAGACACAGAAGACAAACGTCCATTGTTTACACCATCTTAAAAAGACACCCAGGAAAACAATACTGCACCAATACATCAACCAGCAGAGGGTCTGAGCCTGGGCCAAGAGTCACGGATGAGCGCTAGCCTCTGAGACCAGACACCAGGCTGAGAACTGGAACCATCACTAGCTGCATCTCAGTTCTAGGGGGTGAGACTTCACACTGACTCCAAAAGACACAATGCAGAAAAGTCGGAACAGGAAGCTGTTCCCACCCCAGAGGCCAAGGGCAGCCAAAACCATTCTAGCAAACCAGTGAAAAGAAGTGACGTGAGGGCCTCTTCTCGGTTGTGGTCTTGACGGCGTCTGGAATCAAACTAACCGCAGCCAGCTGGGAACTCCTGTGAGCGATTTCTTTTAAATCAGATTATTTGAAGCAGAAAGACTCAGCCTATACCTGGACAGCGCCCTCTGCTGGCAGCCCTGTGAAAGGGTGTGGAAGAAGGAAGCTTTTGCTGGTGGCCTGCTTGCCCTCACTCTTGCTGACAAGTCGGCCTGGGCTGTGGATGGAACATCAACCTGTCACTGGTGTCAGAGACGTCGTCTTCTCCATAGACTGAAGACCAGCAGCTTTCAGGGATCCTCTAGGCTAGGGGTTGGGATTGCTGAGACATCCGTTCTCACGGACTTCTAGAATTTCAGCCACTCTTTAATATATCCCATGCATCTGTATATACATATGTGTGTGTGTGTGTGTGTGTGTGTGTGTGTGTGTGTTCTATTGGTTCTCTTCCTTTAGAGAACCTTGAGAGTATGTGTGTGTGTGTGTGTGCATGTGTATGTGTGTGTGTTCTATTGGTTCTCTTCCTTTAGAGAACCTTGAGAGTATGTGTGTGTGTATGTGTGCATGTGTGTGTGTGTGTGTGTATGTTCTATTTGTTCTATTCCTTTAGAGAACCTTGACTGACATAGATTACAATGTGTGTGTACACCAACTTGCTACAGTACACCTTTGGAATCATCATTGTTATTATTATATTGTTTTATTATTTTATTGTATTATTATTATTATTATAGTCCAATCTGGACTCAACTGTAGAGCCTGCCCTCAGCAAGGCAAGGAAAGCAACTACTGATTCATCAAGTCAGGAGAGAGAAGAAGCAGGCTGTGAACAGACAAGGCACAGGGGAGAGTCTGAAACTGTTGAACCAAAAATGTCTGCAGATCTTACACAGTGCCCGGGTACCAGTAGTTCACAGGCATATGATAGATGGATGGTATGACAATTAATTTATATCTTGGTAAATGATATGAAACAAGAAAAGAAGTGAGGAACAGTTGGATGAGATCAGGATACAGTGGAGATACTTCCTTCTAAGTTTAGACAGACACCCAATGTAGCCATTGGGGGAAAATCCCAGAAAAAGTCACCCGAGAAGCAGAGAGGCTTCAGCCGGACTCAGTGGCTGGGTGGGATTTGAGTTTAAAGAGGAGAGAAGAGGGATCGCCACAGGCCAAGGAAACATCACAGGAGAAGAGGGCTCTCTATGGAAGATGCTCCGTGTGGCAGGAAGGGAGGTTACAGGCAAAGGTGTAAGCCTTGAGAAGCCTAAGAAAAATGGGTGAAGAGGAGGAGACTGTTAGGCTAGAAAACCAATTACACAGTCTTTGCCTCCACATGAACCCACGAGCCCAAGCTGCTTCTGTTTGAAGGGATACACTTGGCTTAGAGGAAACGGCAGTCCTTATGAGAAGCCAAAACATCCCAGAGACTTCACAGATGCATAAAAAGCAACTAGTCCTGGTTCAGACACTATAAACTAACCACGGTGGGCACAGTGAATTGCTTTGGTAATAAAAAAAAAAAAGATGCTCTTAGACCCATTCTTCCCTAATGTTTTATTGTCATTCTTTAATTTTCAAGAAGCAAGAAAAATTAACAAATGTCACATTTTAATGAGTGAATAATTCCAGAAGTATGAATAAAGTCTTTTATTTACTCTCCACAGAAGCCTAAAAACCTATTCACATTTCACAGAATCACACACAGCTAAGGGCAGAGTCTTGATAGCCCAGCTAAATCACTCCGGTTACTGAACCTCATGATAGCTCCCAAACAAACGACTCTTCCATTTTGAACAGCTAGTCTCCTAGTGGTAAGGCAAGCTGAGACCAGATTACAGAATGGACAGAATGGATGACTTAAGTCCCCATTCCAAGCTGTTGTGTAAGATTATCCAGTGTCTCAACACAACGACACAAGATCATTATGTACACATGTAACAACCCATGCCCACCACACCCTCCTCTGCCAGTCACATGGCCCGCACCCTTGGTCCATCATGTGTCTTGTTCACTGGGCCACCCAGATAAGATACCATTTATATGATGTCACATTCTCCCCCAAATAGTCATGTGCATACATATTGCTGAATCAAGTTGTGAGATGCAGGAAACTATTTCAAGCATAGACACCTAGCATAAGCATTCTAACTTCAGATCATAGCTGATTTCATCAGTTCTCCCAAATTAATACCCAAACACTATACTTCAAAAAAAATTTCAGTCTAAGCTGCTTGGGTTAAGATAAAGGTTTGTGACTCTGCCCCAGATTATGCAGGGCTCACTTGAAATTCACTTCAGGAAAAGTTGGGTGCTGAGGTAGCGTAGAATCATAGAACCCATTCAACCTGGCCAGAACAAGACAGATATCCTTCAAGAACCAGTCCGGCTCAGGAAGCCTTCACCTCCCTCATCTACGGTGATGGGAATGAACTGTGCATTGAGACTACAAAACACCATTGTAAATTTAGACCTTTTGTTTTTGCCAAATTTGTAGAAATGGTAACAGTTCCCAATAAACGGAAAAACATGTTTCATTTTGTTTAACTTAAAACTAACATTCTAATGTCTTGTTTATCTAGGAGACTTAAAACATTATATTTGTAGCTTTAAAAGTGTGAAACTGTTTCCTTTAGGGTCACTTAAGAGTACCAAGTGGACCTAAGTCCTTTTCCAGCTCCCCAGACTGTTTTGAGATCTCCTACATAGTTATGGAAACTGGCAGTTCATTCTAAAGAGAGTTTCCTATGCAAGCAAGGACTGGGCACGGCTTTGAAAGCCCTGCCTCCCTTCATTGCTCTCCTGCTAAACCACATACTGAAGGAATGACCACAGTGTGTGGGAATGTGTGTTCATAAAAATACCTTATGGTGCCAAGTATGGACTGAGGACCAAAGGAAGGTAACGGTACTAAAAAGGACAACTTAGGAAAATTTTTACATCAGGTTATTTAGGTGTGACTCATCATGGAGTCTACTAATTTTCTAATTTCATCTCCATATATTCTAAAGAGCAAATTGTCAATCTGTGACTTTTCTCTTATAGTAACCTATAATATTATTCACTACAGCAAGCCAAAAAGAAGTTAACTTGTAATTGTGGGAATAGCATATTCCTGAAACAATTTAATGATCACACACACACACACACACACACACACACACACACACACACACACACACATATATATATGTTCCAAATTAATCTGTTACCAGGTTAAAGAACTCCAAATTCCTTCTTCTCAAATCTGCAGGAGTGATTTCTGCTTAAGTTTTAATCAAGGAGCTGTGAATATAGATTTACTTTGAGGCAGCAGTTTTATAATTCCCTGGATATGCATAATTTCACAAAGTGGTTGAAATCATTTTGATATTATGTCAACAACAGCTATCTGTAACATCATCCCAAGCATTTTTTTAATTCGGTTGACTTTTACCTTTCTCAAGTAGTTTGCCTTTGTAGATACAAAGGTTCTCTCCTCCACAGTGCTGTTGGTAAATCTTGACTTCATCTCGAAAGTCTGTGTCATCATAAGATAGATGCACATTCTTCCCAAAATAGACCATTGTGATAACAGCATTGCTATGTGGGGCTGTTTTGTAAATCCTTCCCGGATCCTAGCATAGACAAAGCACAGGCTTAGTTAGTGACTATGTGTGTACCCATGAGACCTCTTGTTCCCACACGACTTTATAATATGAAAAACAGAGACATATGATTCCAAGCACCCTGTAACAAGATGTTTATAAAGGGTCATTGAACACAATGTGTAAGAATCAAAAACACTATGAAATAAAGTCCTCTTGGGGATTTTAGCATCCAGATTTTTGGCTTTGAGTTTTGTAAATGATAGGGATACAAACAAATTTTGTTATTTTCCACTTTAAGTTCTCCTCTCTCTCTCTGTTAGAAAGAATACTTTTGACTCTTTCAGCTACTTTTCAAATAAAACATTCAAACAAATGAACTGAGTAAATACTAATGTTGTTCTTGTTTGAGTTGATATTGACCATGACACAGCGACAGTTTTTGAAACGACAGCTTCGTCTTTATAAGTGAGGAAAGACAACAGTCCGTCTCTTGGTCCATTCTATCTGAGAGGTGCATGGACACCATGACTCCTCCTGGGCTCCCTGTAAGGATAGGTGATCCTGTATGTCAAGTGCCTGGGATTATGATATTGCTATCTAATTGGTTTCTCTGTTGAATAAAGAAGCTGACTAGCTACGACTAATTCCAAGAGTCGAGAGAAAGTATGTTACAACCACGTTTGAGTTTGATGACTGCAACAGCAGTTCAGCTTGCTGTGCGGGACACTCCGAAGATGATGGCAATGAGTTCTGTGATCACGGACCATTTACTTAACCTGAATTTCGCCTCTAAAGTTAAGAAAGTGTGTGTCCTTTCTAGAGCTTATTGTGTATATGGTGTGTTAAACACTATAACCTAAGGGCTCACTAAGTAGTAGACACCATTTAGTATTGCCATTGGGCACAATTCTTCATAACTTTGTTAAAAGTTCACCGAGCACATGAATAAGAACAGACAATTAAGTGAAGAAAAGACAGCAGGAAGTTTGAAAGTGAGTACATTTCCAGAGGATAACAACATGGGATAAAGAGTGGGCCAGCTGAGGAAGTAATCAGGCTGGCTTGGCAGAGATGGGAGAGAGGGCAGGGAAATGGACAGAACTAAGGTCGTGCCCATCAGCGGATGAAGAAGTTTGACTTCTGACTGTGATGATTTTGCATCTCAGGCTTGACTGGCCTGGAGAGACCATCTGGAAGGATGATGCTTTCAGAAGAGAGAAGCAAGCACCAGGGCTGAAGTCAGGCTGATGCTCAGACTAAGAACAAAATAAAGTCACAGGAGAGAGAGAAAAAAAAGCAGTAAGGGAAACGCACCCAGCCAGCCAGCCAGCGAGCGGAGTGTCTGGAAGAGGAGAAGCAAAGCCTTGAGAGAACGGGGAGGTACAGCTTGAGGGATGCTAAAGAAATGTCAAATAAGGAATGCGACAGGGCTAAATTCATGAATGGAGCAGATATCCAAATTGAATTAAACACAAATCACCTACCTACTATATTGGCATGTTTAAAACCTAGACTCTATACCTAAAATGCTAAAGGTAAAAAAAAATGTATGTGAAAAATCATATACGTATGGGAGTCAAACCAGTGTTCTCTACAAGAGCAACAAGTGGTCTTAACCATTGAGGTGCCTCTCCAGCCCCCAAATAAGGTATTTTATAAATGATGGCTAATGAACACCCAAGATTATAATTTAAATATGGCACGAGAACAAACATCTCAATAATATGTGTGGAAAATAAAAATGAAGATTCATGTGGGAGAGAAAAGTTGATTGTTGGAATGCCAAAAGGTAGACTGAGGAGTTACCCCTTAGCAGAAAGAATTCCCAAAAGGAGAATCATAGGTGCAGATGCTTGTGTGGGTGCATGCACACATGTGTGCATGTGTTGTGATTATGTGTGTGATTACGTATGTGTGTGACTGTAACTGTATTCACACAACTCAAAAAAATAAAATGAGTGCAGTTCAGGAGAACAAAAACAGTGACGAATGAAATGAAGTTGCCCTTGCAAGAGGAAAAGCGGGATCCCACAAAAGAAACGATGAGTGAATTGCCCTGATACTCTGTTTTCTACACAGTCTGCTCTGTTGGTGGTGTCTTCCACTGAGGTTTAAGAAGACAAGGTAGAGAAATTAGATCAGACAGTTACGGTAAATAATAGTCTTATATAAAGAGAACAATAGACAGATCTGGAACACCACGAAAAAAACCCTAATTATCATATTTTCAGATTATGGGAACAGAAAAATTATAATACCAATTGTATAGAAAATATTTTCAAGGAAGTTTGCAAACCTAAAGAAAGAGATGAGCATCCATCTACAAACCGTAAGTACTCCCTGTGAAAATATTGTAGTGAAAATATTAAGAGCACTATTAGAAACTTCCAGAAAGGCCAAGTCAGCATCAACCAGAATAGTAGTGACTACTCAGCAAGACTTTTAAAGCCATAAGGACATAAAAAGAGTATTTCACAATCTGAAATACAATTGTCAACCTAGACTATTCGCCCCAACACACCACCTATTCAATTTGAGCAATAAACATTTTCTATGATAAAAGCAGACTAAAGAATTTATGATCACTAAACTAGCTCTACACAAAACAGTTTGGTTTAGAAATGAGGAAAACCACATACAAGGGGTCCCAAAGAATTAATGAAACAATACCAGAATTGTTTATCAAGTCAGGTCTGAGAAAACTTCATACAATCAACAAAATGACAGACACTAATACACAGATTTTAATAATAACACTGGGTGCCAAGTGGCCTGAATTCTGAATTCCCCCAGTAAGAAGGCACTTTACACTCCATAAAGGACAATCCAAAAGGGAGATCTAATTATAAATACGTATGTACAGAACACAGACACACCCAACTTCATCAAATAATGATGTAAAACCAAATATTAACCCCAACAAAGCGATAATAATTCCAATACCTCACTCTCAACAGTAGACAGGTCATCTAAAGAGAGAAACATGGGAGTTAAATGACATCATAAACCACGTAGACCTAAAGGACAGCAACGGAACATTCCGTTCAAACACTACATAACACACATTTAGCATTCCATGAAAACTTTCTCCAAAATTGGACATATATATTTGACTGGGATACAAAGAAAGTCTCAACAAACACAAGAAAATTAAAATAGCATATTCTATTTGACCATAACGGGACAAAGCCAGATATCAGCAGCAATATAAACTACAGAAGGCACACAGAGGACTCAAACACACAGAGACTGTACACACATTACTGAATGATTATCAGGTTGCTGGAGAAATTAAGAAGGGAATTTTTGAAAATGTCTAGAGTTAAGTAAAGGAAAAATGCAAGATACCAAAAATCTAACACACACCATTGAGATAATCTTTTAAAAGTTTCTTGGCGTGGTGGCACATGCCTTTAATCCCAGCACTCAGGAGACAGAGGTAGGTAGATCTTTGTTGAGTTCGTGGCAAGACTCGTCTACAGAGAAAGTTCCAGGGCAGCTAGGGCTGTTACACAGAGAAACCCAGTCTCGAATAAATAAATGAATGAGTTAATTAATTAATTAAAAAGTTGAGTGGCACCAGGACCTATCCCAGGTGCATGAACTGCCTTTTTGAAGCCCATTCCCTATGGTGGGGCACCTTGCTCAACCTTGCTACAGGAAGAGGGGCTTGGGTCCTGCCTTACTTGGTATACCACACTTTATTGATTACCCAAGGAAGGCCTTACCCCTTCTGAGGAGTAGACGGGGTGGGGGTGGAAAAGGTAGGAAGTGGGGGATGAAAGAAGGGGAGGGAGGGAGGAGAAACTGGGCTTGGTATGCAAAATGAAAAATACATTTCTTTCCATTAAAGAAAAGGTTGATAGTGCCTAGTGCCTGCATCCAACGGGCTTGAGAGATCTCAAATTAATAACTATAGACACGCCTTAAGGACCTGGAGAAACAACAAGAACACAACAAATCCACAATGAGTAGCTAGGAAGAGATAACCGAAATCGGCGAAACAAAAGTCGAAAGCCACAAAGAATGAAACAAGTTGGTTCTTCAAAAAGAAAAGCAAGATTGGGAGGAGGGGAAGGAAGGGGAGAGATCTAGAAATAAAAAAGGGAAACCTTTACGGCAGATACCAAAGAAGTCCAGGAAACAATGAAACAAGGATGAGTCATTCCACATGAACAACCCTGTAGCCAAGAGATGGGATATTGCACAGGGCTCTTCGGAACGCTGAGGGAGAAGATACAATGTAAGAGACGGAGGTTGGGGAGGAGGGCTGTACTGGGCTGACTGATGAACTTGACTGGGCTGGTGAGCACATCAGCTCTCACAGCTTTGGTTGCCTGCACGGGATCAAGCCAATCGCTACCCCAGCGCCCCCTCCCCCAACTTAGGAGCTTTTTGCAGTTGGTAGTGTTAAGGGAGGAATAGTCACTTTCATTTGGGGATGTTAGTACTGATAGGTTATCCACACCCCCATAGTGGCCCCACAATCATTCGTAAAATGTTCAGCACTAATGAACTCAGAGAAATAACTAATTAATGAATAATAATAGTAATAGGCATGAAATTGGGCAGGTTGGTGGGTTTCAGGGGCAGTTGGAGAAAGGAAACTGGGAGCAGATAGGTTAATAAGTGTGACATTTTCAAAGAATAATTTTTTAAAAAAAATGTAAGCGAAGAGAGAAAACTTGTCTAAGGCGCAGTCTGCATAGAAAGGATTTGATAACTGCGTAAAATCCGCCAAGAAGGCCGAAGACACAGACTTCAGAGTGTGGTGTCAGTCACAGATGGGGGCACTGGGGGCGAAGGAGTCTTTGGGGGTGAGAGAGAGGACTCCTGTCAGAAACGGAATGGGAGAGTGAGGACTGGAGAAAATCAAATTGAGAGAAGGGAATTTGGAATAGCAGGGGAAAGAAAGCCCTGGCATGTTGAGGAGGTTAGGGGGGAGGGCAGCGGCTGAGGGGGAGATACAGGCAGGGCTTGGAAAAAACGGCGCTGGAGGCAAGGCTGACTTGGAATCGCAAGAGGCAGAGTGTGTGTCCATTTGGGTACTTCAGGTGATGGTCTCTCTGGAAGATGTCAACTCCGCTGTCTACCAAGTGTCAGAGAAGTTCTGGGCAATTAATGTGGTTGTGTACTTACCCAGTGCAGGAAAAGAGGTCCTTTGCTCTCTTACTAGACTGAAGCTGTGTATAGTCCATCTAGGCTTACAGGTCGATGTTTTGGGGAAATGCGTGACGAACCCACAGCATTTTTTCAAAGAATGCTGAGAGCATCATAGGCCACATTCGCCAATTTGCAATAAACCATTAAAAATAAAATGTGATAATATATGTTACACTCTCTAGCAATGCTTAAACCCATGAATTTTCTTGAATTAGATGTTAAGACACTCTGGGTGATCGAATTAAAGGAAGCAAAATTGGAGTCAGTCAAACTAAATCTGGCCACATGAGTCTTCTATCACCAATTCTGCTAAATTAGCTATTCAGCTGAACTACTGAAATGCCTCGTTTGTATCTATTGCTGTGCTTGCAAACATGCTGTATTTCTTTATGTAATGCCGTTTTCGTACTCGGTTCTAGAAAACTCTTCTACTACAGAACTAGAACTCAGCTGGTGTGAAGTCATCAGCGTTACAGCAATAAGAGACCATTTGACTCATAATCACCCTGGTATAGAGGGGCTCTAAGCCATGGGGAGCGGTGATGGGACGCAGCTTCTTCCTCCTCCAAGGTTCGGACCTGTTCTCCCTGAAGATCTTTCCTGTTTGGGGCGGGGACGTGGGAGGGACAGGAAACTGGTAACTGTTAATGTCTGGAAGTTGGTAGGGATCCAGCCTCTGGGAATTGTCCATGGAGTTCCTGAACTTCATCATCGCCTTCTTGCCCTGCAATCATACACCATGATGTTAAAGCCCAGTGACGCACACGCAGGGCCCTAACGCAACCCCAGCGCAAATCAAAGGCAAGCCTGGATGACTGACCCTGCACTCAAACCCAGCTGGAAACAATAGTCCGACCCCAAACTCGCATCGGTATCTATGAAAAATCACACCTTCTGTCTATTGCAAATTCCGTGAGCACGTGTCTTTAACCTTGCGCAAATGTAGTTTTAACAGAAGATTTAAGAACAGCACTCAGGGGAGAGTCAAGTTAGTTGATTTCACACCGGGAAGTATGCAGGGTTGGACTCAGAAGCAGGGTGGCCAGTGCACTGAGCAACTGCCCTCATGTTCCAACCTCACAAATCCCAAGGTCTGAAACAGGCAGGAGAAGCAAGACTGTGATCAAATGCCGGATGTATAATGTTTGAATTATTGCAAACTTAGTGAAGGACAAGCAAAAATATTCACCAAATTTCAAAGAGGATACTGTTTGACCTAGAAATCCTGCCAACAGGAATAAATCCTGTAAAAAAAATTTACTATTAATATTACTTGCAAGAATTAATACTATACATGTGTGTATTATTTAAGTGTGTGTGTATGTACACATATTTAAATTCAGCTCAACCGTAAAAGGTTTAGCACCCAAAAAATCCATATATAGGAAAATAGTTAATTAAATTTTGCTTCGTTTCTTTAGTTAGATTATATATTTCTCAATAGGGTATAGAAATAGTAGCACGGGCAGTATGATGCTTCATTTCTTTAAAGCGATTTTTGTGTAGGTTTTTATTTAAAAAGCAAGAACAAATGGAAAATTTTAAACATTAATGTATCCTTGTGGGATATATCTTTATGTTGTTTGAGGGTTTAATCAAAATGCCTCACTTTAATCTTGTAAAATCTTTAAAAGTAAAACCAATAATCTTTGCCAGACAGACTTGAGTCTAAATATTTTTACAAATTATTACATGTGTCTGAAATATATTTCCAAATTTTAAGGAATCTTTAGATATTTTTATCCATTATACACTATTTTTTAAAAAGTATTTATACTTATACAATATAAATTTACATTACATTTATATTTTTGTGTTACTAATTAATTTTCATCCCATTTCATCTAAATTCTGAAATGCTTAATAATGAAAATTTATTTTATGGAAAGAAAGTTCTCCAAAGGGCACTGGTTACTAAGTAAATAAAAGCAGAGTAAGTAAAAGCATGTCTAGCTCAAAACTTGAATAAAACCACCACTTTTATGTAAGGGGGTCTACTGTTCAGACGATAAATTACATTGAGTGTTCTTACTTGTTTCCAACATTTTTTCTGCAATAAGTTGCATTGATCCTAGAATATCAAACTAGGGATAAATGTACATGATACAAGTATTTAAATTAACCTAGGACTTTGGGAGTTTTGATAACTTTAATTGCTTTTAGAAATAAATATCATAGCTGGTATCAGGTGATTGTCTTGTTTTGGAGATGAATTTAATCATATTTTTGAAAAATTAACGTCTTGTTCCTTTTCCTATATTACTGATAGTATATTGGATACTTTTCTAAACTATTACATATAATTACAGTGCCTTTTAAGCTATGGTGGGGAAAGCTTTTCCCAGTTGTTCACTACTGTAAATATGACAGCTCCAAGTTGCCTTGACTCCTCCTTTGCATATGGGTGCATTGTTTCTTGGGTAGGTTCCTACATGGCAAAAAACAGAGGTAGGTCTTCCTGGCAGTGCTTTGAAAACACTTAACGCTGATTTCTCCTGGCAGGAGGGACTCACTCTGTACGCCGGCAAGGTTTGCCAAGTGATTAGTGGCATCAAAACCAACCTGGTGTTGACCATGTTCCCTTTTTCCTAAAGATGCTCAGTGACTGCTACGACAAGTTCGGACTGGTTTTGTCTGTATCACACTCAGTCCTTACACCTGTATCTCTTCACTCTTTCAGTAAAGCGTGAAGGGTCAACCCAGTGCCCCGTATGTGCTTAGCAGTAATACAGGCCACTGTCTTTCGTAAGGAGCTTGTCTGACAGTCAACACTTTCGATGCCCACTAATAGAAGCATGTCTCTTTTCATAGCCTGTCTTGCTTATGCACATTACATTGTAAGCTCCAATAAGCCTGCTGGTGTCTTCCTTGATAATCAGTAACAACACTTGCTCTTCGATACCTAGCCTATCATAAGTGCCAAAAAATATTTGAACACTGAGTTTAGGTAGCTGAAACTAATATGAAACTAATCTTCACCTTCTTGGTGCATGTGAGCTACCCAGTGCCTTTCCTTCAGCAACCCACGCTCTCAAAACTTGAGCTATATATGTTACATGTCACCGTGTGTACGTAAAACGATTACTTGCATACAGTGTCTCAGAGTAATTTGGCAGGGGGAAACAATCACTGAAAGCAAAAAGAAAAAAAAATCAGCTTCTGGGAGTCCAACACTATCAGCGTTCTTATGTCTAGGAAGAAAATTTGCCAAAGTAGAACTCAGAACTATATAGAAGCTTGGGAAGAATGTAATCACCTTGGCGCACATGGAAAGCACCCATTGGAGCCCCTGCCTAATGGGGAGGAAGCCCTACCCCTTGTGTGTCCAGCCCTAATGGCAAAGCTAACCCCGGAGGACACAGAGAGTTTTAGGCAAAGACCTGTGCGATTCCTGCTACTTTTGGCAAGCCCATTTCTAAGATGAGATGGGTGCCTCTGGAAACCTTAGCCTGATCCAAGAACACTGCCTTGAGACACGGCCCCTTCCTGGTTCCTCTGTCACCAGGTAACCTCCTTATTGTGATTCTGTCTCCCAGGAGGCCCTGCCAACGGGGGTGGGGGGTGGGGGAGAGACACCACTGTTCCTACAAAGCTTTGGTGATTTGATGATGGATTAATGGCCCCTGATCGGGACAAATCTCCTGTCTTCGATGACTATAAAACAGCAGTATCCTGCTTGTGTATTATCTTAAGTGGTCTCATAGGAACTGGCCGCGTCGACTGGACTCTAGATCAGAGACCCGGGAGGGAGCCTGTCTCACTCCAAGCCATTTCTGCAAACAAAAAGCCACCATTTCCCAACTAACTTCTTCTAGCATTTAAGAAGCTCCCCGTAAATTCCCCAGGGAAAGGTGCGTAAAACATTCTCACGAGCTAAAAGCGTGTCCAGTGGGTTGGGATGTGACGATTGCCTGTGTACATTTAGTATGAAATGCAAGCCCTCATTTGTCTACGTGAAGGGCATTTGTCAGCGAAAGAGGACAATGGCTTGGGTTCATGGGTGGTATTTCCTAGTAAGGAATGAAGCAACACATCCATCCCTTCCTCTTAATGGCAATCACGTTCTTGATGGATTCTTAAGCTAGCGAATGTTTCTGCGAGTTAGAAACACAGGCCCTCCCCAGTGTGGAAAGGCCCTGGCTTATTCTTCCCTGTTTAGGTGGATTCTGTTTCATTCCTAGCTTCCTAATACTCTTAAAGGGCAAGATTACCCAAGATAATAACCCTGGAAGGGAATGCAGTGTCAAAGCCCTGGGTCGTTAATTACACTTAAATGAGAGATGCAATTCAGCCTCCATGTGACTTTGCACAGGGACTTCAAAAGCTAGTCCTGAGGCAAACACAGACCAGCCACTCAATGTCCCCCGGGGTCTGGTTCCCCTGTGCTTAATCCACAAGGAGCCCACAAGGGGTCTCTTCTGGGGACAGTCGCTTGCAGCTGTGGAAAGACTTCTTTGTTTTCCATCCAGTCCTCTTTCTCGTGGTGAGCTATCGGGCCACATCATGACAAACCCACCCCTTCCTTACAGACTCTGCTTAGTTAGATGGCAACCGGCCTGCTGCTCGTCACGGAAAGACAGTGTTCAGCGGAAGCACACGGTTAAGTGACACGGTTAAGTGCTCCATGGATGCACAGGATGAGCCTCCTGGAGCACCTTACACGCTTTGACAGCACAAGACTTTAATCGACAATTTAAAGAAATACATTTCTTAAAGAAAACAACATTTACCCCAATAGGAAACGGAGCTTCACTTTCCAGAAATGCGGTTTTGAGTTTGGACCCTGAAGTTATCTTTGAAACATTTCTCGCTGCACAATTACTGAGAAGAGGCTGCAGTCGAATCGGAGGCTGCATATTTCCCGGGGCAGTATATGGTCGAGAGGAGGCTGTCTAGACAATTAGGGGGGGAAAGTTCCGTTTAAATTAGTATCTTGACATCTTTCCAGAACCAATTAATAACTCAACAAATTGCCCAGAGTAATTAATGGTACCTTTTTTTACCAAACAGATTAAACTTTAATTATATCCCTCCATTATGTACACCTTCTGACCCAAAGTATCTGTTAAAACATATGGTGTTGAAGTCCTCAACCTAACCAAGTATCACAGGGATGGAGCCTTGCAGACAAAAGAAACGGTCTCTATTGTAACCCCATATTCTTGCCCGTACTGTAAACTCTTGACAGGGCCGAATTTGTGCCAAGGATGGCTTTGCTCAGTTAAATGTTGAGTTGAATCATGTTCCTACTGTAGAGATCTGGGATGGTATTATCGGAACAGACTCGTTTCAGTTTCAATGTTTTCAATATACAATCTACTCTGAATTCATCCCGCCGCAAGGTTGGGCACCACCCAAAGTAAAAGCAGACAACGGGAAAGGCAGGTGCCTACCCGTTACGTGACTTCAGCTGCTTCCTAGAAATGTAAGAAAGCAAGATGAAAAGTGGTAGCTGGCAGCGCTGGGAAGCACTATATAAAAATGAGCGTTTCCATGCTGAGTGTCTTCCATCCTCTCTGCTGGGTCTCCTGTCTACCTTCTCTGTCTGTGGAGCTCCGGGCCCTGGGAACCGACTCCCTCGAGAATCTACCAACCAACCCCAGGACTGCAGTTGGATTCTACCAAAGAGAGGGATTGCATCAGAGAAGATGGGAGTGTGAGATGGAGGCCTTTATTCCCGCCCTCCCTGAAGGGTGGTTCCTGCCTATGGCTTCTGGAACCTAACCCCTCCTGTGCCCCCTTCAACCCAGGGGCTGTGGTTTCCTGTGGTGCTGGCCCCAGTGGGCTTACCATCCATGGTTGTTTTTCCCTTTGCCGGGCTGTATCTACCTAAATAGTTTCTTTATTAAACAACTTCCTAATTACTCTATTGGTACGAGCCATCTGTTTCCTGCTGAGCCCCCAACAGAGACTCTTTCCAATCAGGAATGTATTGCAGCGAATACAAAAAGTGCCAGTGTGGAACACTGTAAGTACCTTTTGGGGGCATCAACAGAAAATTGTATGTTTTGTATAGAAATTAGCAATGTGTCAAAAGTGGGGAAGCAGGAAGCTTTTGGCCCAGTTGTCCTATTAGACTAAGGCAGTAGAAAAACGCCAAGAACAGGATGTGCATATTTGGACAAAGGGGTATGAGAAGGACAGTACATAAATGATTCATGAACGGAATTTTGTACATTGACTCTAAAAGGATGATGAGCCACAAGCATTCCATTCTGCAAAAGAATGTATAAGTAAACACATCTAAACAGGCAGCCAGAGACTACTACCAATCCCTTGTTCTCACAGCATCTTGAGAAGCATGTGTGCATACACTGCTAAACTTCTGATTTCTCAACAGTAGGCACATATTGAATCTCCGCCTTAGGCCAAGTGAGGAGATAAAAAGCAATATTTAACATCCAAATATCCGTTAGTCAATTGGGCTGATGGATGCCAGGCAACGGGGCTCAGAGTGACGTGTTCTTAGAATAGTTACAGTTAACCAAGAGGGCTAAGGAGAGCTAAATTTCTCACAGACGCAGCTAAAATTTTATCCAAATGACTAGGCAAGGGGAAGAGGGTGACCTGAAAATCCGAGGGAGAAGAGGCTCTGAGCCAGGACCGAAGAAGAACAGTGACAGCCGTTCCTGGCATTTGCTCTCCTTTCTTCTCCAGGAACAGCATTCTCATTTGGGATCACGTCTGGCCCAAACAGAGCAGGCTCCCCAGACTTGACCTACGACTCTGCGGGAGGTGGCAGCCCTCTCCACTCTAGGCCAGTAAGATGTGAACCCGTCCAAAGGACTCCTGACACTAGCCATACACACTCATAGAGAAGGGAAGCCGCGTCCTTACTTTCCCGCTGACCCCTTCCCTCAGGCCGGAGCATCCACATGGTGATACACAGCCCTGGCTGCTGTGGATGAAGCCGGGCACCCCAAGTTGGGTGGGGTGAGCAACACAGAAGGGATCCAGGTGTTTGATGACTTCATAGAGTCACCTGAGGCTCATGCATGGGCTGGGGCAGGGATGACTCCCCCCTGGTTAAGCCATTGTTACTTAGGTCACTTAGGGTGTGAATGTGAAATGTCTCCCTCAGGCTGTTTCAACACCCGGCCCAAAACTGGGAGTTTTGCTCTTTTGGGGGGGGGGTGTGAATCCCTTGGTAGGTAAAGGGTGGCCTGGCTGGAAGAGCTTCTCTCTGAAGGGCAGGTCTTGCTGCTGCTCGTAGAACACCCTGCTTCTAGCCTTCCTCTCTCTGCTTCCAATAACGCATGAGGCAGAGAAGGGTCCTAGCCGCACGCTCCCTCCAATGTGGTGCCACCAGCTTCTATGCCTTCCTCCAACCTGACCCTCAGGCTACATGTCACACCAGCCCCTTCTACCTCAGTCACTTCTCAAAGGTGTTTTGTCTCAGCCACAAGGGGAGTGACGGGACCAGAGTCTCTACAAACCTGAACCGCAGCAAACACACATGGATCAACTGAAGCCACTGGTAAGAGGTCGGAGAAAGCAAGAGATGAACCTTGGAGAGAGACCTTAAAATCCTCGTACAGGAATTAAGCCACAGGCTTCCGAGTAAGAAGCTCTTGTGACTCTACGAGACCCATACATACATGCTGTCCTGTGTCTCTTAGTGCAACAATCCCAAATGTGAAACATCTTGTATATAAAATCCAGAGGAGCTGGTTACTACAAACCAGAGAGCGTCATGCGCTGGTGGATATGCTCTTAATTTTACCGCTGTGCATTTGCATACACATGCCATCCCGTTAGAAGGATGTGGCGGTCAAATGCTAAACTGTTCCCATTTATCGCCAAAGATAAATCTGTTCCATTAACAGCTGTGCACCCCAAACTCTCGTAGCTCATATCAGAGGCTACCTTAACTTTGCTGCATTTTACAATGTGTGAATGTATTTTCCTGCAAGGCACTGTCTTCGTGTGCTCAAAGCCGTACGGAAATGTGAGTTGAAACCGGCTACCTGGTAATTTACTCAGCTTAGCTGAGCTTTGCTAGTTCTCTAGAAGACCCCAGGGGGAGAATTTCCCAAAGAAGTGCAGAATCGGTTGAGATGACGTTCCTGGGTTTTAATGGAGACGGCACAGCTAAATGCTTGCACGGTGTCTGAAAGTTTAGCACAACTAGCAATGAAGGGCAGGAACAGCCATGCCGCGGGCTTCCCTGAGAAGCTGGTGGAAAGTGATGACATCCCATAAGGTTTCCTGTCTCCATCTAGGGCTGTTGGTAGCAGTCAGGGCAAACCAAAGGCAGACTTGAATCTCTGCAAAGCAGGATTCACCTACACATCAAAGTAGCTATCCAGTAAGGTGCACAAACAGTGTAGTCTGTGACCAAGTGTCCAGTCTGTTATGTCCAGCTGGTAACAGTGTAACCTCTGACTTATAAGGGAGCCCCTCACTCTTGCAATGAGGGGGTTCATCTGGAAAACTAAAAGGAAACCCTTAAAGGGACTTCCCCTCTCTGAACCAGGTGGAGGACAGAAAACAGCATTATTTCCTTGGTGTCTTCTGGGGAACAGCTTGGGAGAGGCTAGTGAATTGCTGTCCAACAAAGACATGTTTGTGTGTGCACACACCCACCATTCAAACCAAACCCGGAAGAGGAAAAACAGTCCAGAGAGACCGGGGCTTTTCAAGACTCGGCTGTTCACCCTGGACAGGTCAAGACATGACTAACTTTTGCAGAATGTTGAAGCTTAATGCCTTAAGGGACAGCCTTCTTCAACAGTCTGTGAGGGCTTTATAATTTCTCCACAGATATTGTGCAACAGAAATAAAAAAAAAAAAGAAAATGGCCAGACTTTACAAGGAAAAACATCCAGTCATGAAAACCAAGAGTAAAGATGTCATGGGACGTTTACCCCGCTTCAACCACCAGGCAACACTTTTTAAACATTTCCTGGGTCTGACTTGTTTTGAAGAACTGTGCCCTCCCAGCAAATACCACCTCTGGGCAACAGACAAATCATGCTGGGATAAAATATCAGCGTATGATTTCTTCAGATGGGATTTCAATACATTTAAGTATCTCCAAGTAGGAGCCCATCCTTTTGACAGACTGAAATGGTAGACTATCACCAGCACGCCGCACGGCACTGCTGGATTTGTACAGATAGCAGAATAGCAAGAATGTCAGAAAACAGACGGCACGTATGACACAACCAGAGTCTCCACTGTGCCGCGTTGCTGAGTGCTGGAGGGTCAACACTGAGCTAGACCACTTGAAGTGATTTTAGATATCTAGGGTAGCGTTTGTTGTTTTCTGTAGGTGAAACAGAGCCGGAGTACAGGGCTGGGGGAGGGATCTGAGTGTGAAAGTGTTAAGTGATCCCCACTCAAGAGACTGTCGTGATGGCTGCACCCACAGGGATTTTGACTGGAGTGGGGGGACGGTTAATGGAGACTTGAGCAGTTGTGAGTCTGTGGCTTCCAACTGTTCCTTTGACTATGTTTTCTAGTCTGTAGGGTTGTATAGACATGCACACAGAGTCTTCATTCTGAGATTAATGAGAAATTGTACACTCATTAGCTGGGACAGAGTACTTAATAGGACTCACCAGTGTTAATGGGCTAGAGTGTCCTTCCTCAGCCAGAACGCTACAGCCGCGGTTTGACTTTGGGCCAGCTGGGGGATGGGGAGTCAGAACGGGCAAGTTATCTTCGATAAATCGTCTTGTGTGTTCTCCCTATAACGAGAAAGAAATCTGTGAGGTTGACGTGTAGATGATCTGGTTTCTTTAGCCCCTGGCACACATTTGAATTATGAGATCAGAGCCCTCCCCACTAAGAAGGCTACTCGGTGTCCTGACAAGGAAGTTAGCAAGGCTCTCATGACCATGTTGGGCCTGGGGGGGTGGTTGTGAGTGGCATAAAATGGAGTCTTTCCTAATTGTAAACGAAGGAGTCACACTGACCCAGGCGTTGGTGGCGCACGCCTTTAATCCCAGCATTCTGGAGGCAGAGGCAGGCGGTTCTCTGTGAGTTCAAGGCCAGCCTGGTCTTCAGAGTGCCAGGACAGCCAGGGCTGCAAAGAGAAACCTTGTCTCGAAAAACCAAACAAACAAATTTTAAAAAAGGAGTTACTCTGAGTACCCTGTACTTCAACCATAATGTTTAGCAGGCTGCTACACAGTAACCACTATACTTCCTTACTCTGACCAGTAGAGGCTACCAGAAATGATTGGCTTTTTTTTCTTTTACATAAAAATAATTCCATGATGACCTGAAGCAAAAGTTTGCCTACTAAACAGAAGGAAGGAACCTAAAAACGTGCCTTTGCCAATTACAAATAGGCAGTGAGCTTTGACAGTCCCAATAGAGGCATCTGATGAGAGGACCTGGAGTGTCTCCGGCCCTCTCCCCATGACCTAGTGTTCCTCAGCTGCCATCGCACAGGGCAAATGAATGGAGGACATGCAGCCCACCCTGCTTCAGGAGCGGGGACTCAAGTATTTCCAGTCACCACACCCGCATCTCGGCAGATAGACTGCAGAACCCGTAAATAACAGTTCACGGTGCAAGCCATGGCCAGCCAACCTGAATGGACTGGAGCCTCTGGACCTGAGTTCTCCTGATCCCCGAGAAGGGACCTATGTACTGCCATTCAACACTTTACTAACAAGATTAGCACGTGACCCCAATAAGTAAATTTGAGCCCACCAACCCAGAATAGGAAAACTGTAGTCTTACTGGACAGGTTGCCCTACCAACACTTTGCAAATGCTTAAATCAGTTTGTGGGATGTGTTTCACGTTCAGAAAATTAAGAACAAACAGCTCACGATTTCAAATAGCTCAAGAAATCAAATAAATCTGCCATCCTAATCTGAAACATGCCTAGTTGAATCTCATCTCCCGATTCAAATTGATGTCTTCCGTAAGTTCATTGGAAAGAACAAAAACAGAGGACAACCCCGGGGTTTAAAAATACCCGGCACAGAATGTCCCCAATCTGATCATGCTGTCCCCCACCAGGGAAGCTCATTCCCACCATGGTTTTCAAGGGTGACATTCGAATGAAAATGTGTGATCATATACTTCTTCCAATGTTTTATTTTCCTTCACACTGGAACATTACCATCTCTATTTTCTTAAGCTACAAGAATATCCTTTGGCCTCTCTCTCTCTCTCTCTCTCTCTCTCTCTCTCTCTCTCTCTCTCTCTCTCTCACACACACACACACACACACACACACACACACACAAAATGAAATATTAAAAAAAACACACAAAAGCCGGATTTCAAATTTGGCTATTTTTAATTTTATCTTGGAAAGTTTCTTGCATTGTGAAAATGCACTTCTCAGAAGCAGGGCCTATTTTATCCGCGTCCATATAGATGACGGTTGAGATCCAAGCTCAGTAGAATCACTTGCTTGACCTCGGTTATGTTTGCTGTCCAAAAGCAGGTGACTCTAGACGCTCAATAATAACCGCCTGGGTGTTGGACTCCTAAAATGCAACAAAAAGGCGAAAGAGTTTACCTTCAGCCTCTGAATCCGTTCTTTCCTAGCTAAGGCATCCAGTTTCCTTCTTATTTCAAGCTGGCGGTTGCGCTGTGGGAGACAGAACCATCCTAGTTAGAGCCAAGAATATTTTTAGAGGAAAATAATCCCCACACACGTAGCTTTACTCTCAATAACCCCTCTTGCCGTTTAGATGGAGAAGAACCACCTGCCTAAGTGTGCAGGTGGAGATATCAATTGTCACCACTCTGGGAATTCCAATCACAAACACTTCTTAGCTAGGAAAGGATCCATGCATGCCCTTTAGCCAGAAACGCCACTCTTAATCTGAAGAGGAAAACTGAGTAACGACTTGTGAGTGTTTTGCGCACACAAAAAGATACAATCTGAAAGCAGCCCCACCCCTGGATTTCTTTGAAGAAAAAAAGTGAAAGAGCGGTAAGAAACTGAAAAGGGCAGCTGAATGTTTGGCCTGCGGGTGTGCTGGGACAGAATACAATCACGGAAACAAGGTTTCCAAAGACTTTGGATTTGTTTCTTTCAGCAAGATGGCAGAAGGGCATGAAGTCTGGTGGCCTGAGGAGCCATTGTCTGGAGAGGATCCCTGCAGCGAGGAGTTGTTTCCTAGTGTCTCTCATTCCCAAAGACTCTGAGGCAGACACGTGGCTTTGTGCCCTTGGTCTCACTTCCTGTTTCCTGTTTGATTGCCGCAAACCCATGTCCCCACCACAATATATCATGCTGGTTTTTTGTTTTAATTTAATTTTTTTTACTTATGCGTCTGTGAACATGTGAGGCTGTAGTCTAAGGCATCCCTGTCCTGCAGGGAAAGGGTGCCTGGAACTGAACTCTTGTCCTCTGCATAGGCAGCCAGTGCTCCTAACTGGTGGAACACAGCTTACATCTCACTGTGACTCATGGAATTTGGTTTTTTTGTTTTGGTTTTTGGTTTTTTGCTATATGGTCCACATGAGCCTCAAAATTGTGGCCATCCTCCTGCCTAAGCCTCCTGGGTACTGACATTATAGGCATGTGCCGACACGCTTGGCCGTATCCTGATATTATTGCTGCGTAAGTGTGACTAGAAGATCCCAAAAAGCAATGTACGTGGACAGTAGTCGTCTCTGAAAGTAGAAACCTTACGCAATTATGTCACTGTACTTTTTTTTCTCTGTTTTCTGATTATTTTAGTATACTAGTTGGTGCCTTTAAGATATAACTCGTATAAAAGAAAATCATCTTCTTCCAGTTAGGCTAGAAATCAGTCCTTGGCTTTTCTCGCTGTTGCTTCATTGTTGCTTTGGGGAAACCCTTTTCTCTGGCCTTGGTCCCTGCTGATTCCATCACTCCTGTCCTGGGTGTTATCAGTCATCTCTAGACACTTCTAGTCCCTCTCCCTCCTGCTCAGCAACAAACTTCCCTTATATTCACCCTCAGCCTGTTCCCAAGGTCCCTGTGTCCCCAACTCTCCAGTCAGGTGACAGGCCCCTTTCCACCACGGTTAACACTCTCCCTTCCAAGCTCTCCAGTGCCCTTGCTTCCAGGGTCCAGTCATCCCCAGGAGCCATTCTGCAGCAGCTGAGCTTGTGAGAGGCCCTGGTCTCCTGAACAGCATCCTAGCAAGCCTGTTTGTCACAGGTGACAGGCTTCCAGTACGATGCCACGCCCCTGCTCCTTCCTCCCGGTGCCCCTCATTCAGTCCCTCAAGTCCCCTGCCTCTCCCCTGCCTCTGAGACAGTGGCATCTTCCTCTCCATGGCTCTCCCCTCTGCGGTCTCTGTAGACAGCTGCCTCTCCCGCACTCCCTGCTGCTGCTGCTGGCTGCAGCCCGCCCTTTAGCAACAGATTCCTAATTGATCTCCCACCTCCAATCTTTTCCAGCCCATTTACCCATCCTCTTCATCTCCAGGGGCAACATCACAAACAGCTCCCGCTCATTTATTTCACTCCCCTGCTGGAAACAAAAATCTCATCGCCTCATCACCTCCACCGCAACCTGCCTTGGGAATTTCAAGACTACCCAGAGACAAAGCTCCAACTTAGCAGATAATGTCACCTCCTGCCAAACTGCCCTGAGCAAGCAGTCCTGGGGCTTCCTTTCCATTTGAGGTCTTCTGCCTCTCTGGAACCCGTCTCCTGTGATCCAGGCTGACTCTTGCTCAAGGTGTGTTTCACGGGACCTCCGTGCACCTTGCTCTGACGCCCACAGGGCACCCCCTCCTTTGCAGATTTTAACTTTGCCACTTCCCTCTTCCGTGCAATTGCTGCACACAATTTCAAGGAGCACGTCTTGCAGCCACAAGGCAGGGCCCCATCTTGGCACACAGTGAGTCTGCGACTGTAGGCCGAATGGGTGAATGCATGGAGACCTACCTCAGTACCAGGGAAAACTGGAGCAGTGTCAGTTAAATGGGGAGCTCTGTGGCAACCTGGAAGCAACCAGCATTGTCCTAGTATGCTAACCGTTTGGATGTGTCTTCTGAAACATGGCAAGAAGCTAAGTGGATTTCACTGTTTTTCAGATTTGTAGATAGCTACAGACTTTACCGATTAAACAACCCTATGTTCAATTCAGAGTCCTCCGAACGCTGGAACCTTTAGGCATAAACACCACGCTTACAATATTTTCAAGTTTGGAGTATCTCATATTTGTCTCTCTCTTTTTTTAAAGCTGCATGTGGGTTTGTGTGTGTGTGTGTGTGTGTGTGTAACATACAATGTTTGCTTTGGATGCATTAGGTGTTCATGCATGTGGGTTTGTGTGTGTGTGTGTGTGTGTGTGTGTAACATACAGTGTTTGCTTTGGATGCATTAGGTGTTCATGCATGTGGGTTTGTGTGTGTATGGTACATGTAATACGTGTATTGGATGTCTTGGGCGTTCATGTGGGGACCGGAGGAAGACTCTGAGCGAACTACTCTATCATCCTGTAGGCTATTTTCTCTGCACAGGGTCTCTCACTCAGCCTGGTACTAGGCTGACAAGCCAGTAAGATTGCAGCAGTATTTCCTTCTCTGGGATGGGGTTATAGGCATGGGCATGACTCGCCTGTTTTGTTTTTGTTTGTTTGTTTGTTTGTTTGTTTACATAGGTACTGAGGATTTAAACTCAGGTTCTTGGGCTAAAGTAAAATAAATGAATCCCTAAGTTAAGCAGAAACTGTATGTGTACCATAAAGATCTTAAGTGAATATTGATGTAATGATAATACAACAATAAATACTTTCCCTGGTTCTAAACTTGTTGCTGGTTTACTGATAGTCCTGAATTTGTTCATAAGTGTTACTGCACCCACAGGTCAGGAGCCTTTCGAGCAAGCCTCTCTGGTTTACCGCGGTATGGAGGAGCCAAGAGGGGCACCTTTTCTCAGAGACTAAAATGATGCTTGACAATTTGTGGAGCAAGACTACAACAATTTCTCAGGTTAGTTACATTTCCCACTAAAAGTGCAATGTCAGGTTCCACAGAACGTGTTGACGCTCAGGCTGTTAATCGTGCTGACCAATGTGTCCTAAAGTAGGAGGGACAGCAGATGTTTCCAATGCCTATTCCGTGAAAATTAACATACGGCTGAGCTACAGGCCCTTAAAAGAATAACAGATCCAAGATAATTCATGGCAGTGGAATTACTGATATTTAAACAGATGTCACTATTTTTTTAGGGAATGGAAATTAAGGTACAGATGGTAAGGGCTGGGTAGCCATTGTGGATTGAAAGAATCTACATTTAGAAAATTAAATATCACAAACTTTATAATCATGTCCACATTTCTTCTGGACTAAAAAAGAGTAAAACTTGGGTCTCTGGGCTCCTGGCTACTTAGGAAGTCAGACAGTATCTCCCAATTCTTTTTTTTTTTTTTTTTGGACAAATTCCTTTTTCATGAAGTTTAGAAAGAATTCTCCAATCATTAGTCATTATTGAAGAGTGAACAGTCTGTCATAAAGAGGGTAAGGAATGCCCTCACCTCCATGTCGAGGACCTTGTGAAAGATGGCCTGTGCTAAGCACTCCCGGATGTACTTTTGGTGATCCTGTTTCATGGTGTTTACTTTGTATTCCTTTTCAGAAAGTATTCTCCCACTTCTTGTGATCTGTGGTGAATAAATAAAAACCGCGCGTGGATAAATAAGATACACACGAGAATGCAAAATAGGAAAATGTGTTGTTAGGTACCAAAACAGACAGAGAAGGGAGGGAGGAGGGAGAGAGAGACAGACAGACAGACAGACAGACACAGAGACAGAGAGACAGAGACAGAGGTAGAGAGAGGGACAGAGTGAGAGAGAGAGAGAGAGAGAGAGAGAGAGAGAGAGAGAGAGAGAGAGAGAGAGAGAGAGAGAGAGAGAGGAAATTGGTCTTTTCAAAGCCTAAAGGAGAACACCATTGTCCCTAACGAACTTCTGTTTTTAATGAATATTTCATCAGGCAGAAAGGAGAAAGGAACTCTCGCGTACCTGCCAGTGTGAAAACACACACAGGTGGCACACTTGACGTTTAAAACAGGGTTTTCATTAGAGCCGCAATTTCCCGGTGATGGAACCCAGGTGTTCTTTTCAAGCCCCTGAAAGTACCTTGGGGAGGGAGCGGGGAGGAGCTGCCCTTCCAGGAGCCCCCACGGAGCGGTGCTGCATGGACTACATCTGGCAGGAAAGCACCAGCAGGGCTAAGGCTGGGCAAGCGGCAGAGGAAGCCTTTGGTTTGTCTTGAGAAATAATCGGTTTCATTACTTTGTATTACATTGTTTGCTCCCCGCTTTTTTCCCCCTTCCGGCACTTTCCAGGCCAGGGATGTAATTTAATTTGCTATGATTTAGAATTTTATGGTTTGCATAGGAGTGCAGGAAGACGGTTTCCGATGTGGGTCACAGCGGGGATCGCTGCATGCCTGTCCCTGGAGGGACCAGCGATGAGATGATCCCACCCTCCTCACTCTTTGCTTCCTTTGGTTCTTTGCGGGTATTTGCTCAGAAGAGGCCACTATCCTTCCTGCTGTTTGTTTTCCTCTCCACTTCCCCATCCCTCCCTTGATGGCTTGAGTTTTAACGCAAGCCACGTTTACAGCTGGTTGCATGTCTGTGTGTGTGTGTGTGTGTGTGTGTGTGTGTGTGTGTGTGTGTGTGTGTGCCTGTGTGCATGTGAGCTTGGGCACCTGTGGAGGCTGCAGGCTTTGGACATCCTGGGGCTAAAGTTGCAGGCAGCTATGAGCTGTTTCAGTGTGAGTGCTGGGAGCAGAACTCAGGTACATGCTCTTAACCGTGGAGCCCTCTCTCCAGTACCCACGTTCGTGTTCTTAATTTCCTTCCTCGCTTTTAAGCTATCAGTTTTATATTACTGTTGCGGCACGGTACTTCAGATAACCCACTCACAGGGTCTAGAATGTACTGGTGCAGGATGCCATGTCCCTGGCAAGTGTCTAATGTTAGGCATCCTGGCTGTTATCCCCACTCCGGTTGCAGATGGCATATGACACCATTATCTCTCTTCTCTGGGGTTATGTCTGCTCTCCCCAGCCAGGACAGGAAGCTCCTGTTGAGCCCCAGTGCTTAAACTTGAGTGAGGTGGACATGAATCACCCAGAGGAGTTGCGAATATCAAATCCCACAGGCCAGGGGTTTAGAGCACCATACTTACATTTTTAAGAAATTTGCATGCGAAACATCAGGCTTAAGGGGCTGTTGCTGGATCCCTTAATCTAGAGAAAGGCCCATACCTTCCTTATCCAAGTTACCAGGCTTTTAAACAAGTGTTCCTTAAGTGTTTGGGGATGGTGTTCAGTAAAGGCTGTGTTGTTCTCCCAACTTGGCAGTGTTCCTAGGCACACAGTGATTACAGGGTGACTCACTGCAGGTTCCTAACAGTAATAGCCATTCTGAGGGCTGGACATCATTGTCTTCTTTTCACCCTTGAGGAAGCTGGGCTGCAAGGGGTGTGAGTGGTTGTCTTGTTCCTGGCAGAGCCAGGTTGCAGGGGACCCTTCTGATAATGACGCCCCAGGAGGCCGAGAAAGGCCTCTCTCTCCAGCTCCACCCAGCAGGTGCCAAGCACAGGCACAACAGTTAGAAACACAATACAGCTCTTTCAACACCAAGACAACCCTGTACTTTAAGAAAGCAAACAGCCAGCGCTGTCAGGAACCACACCCCCTTTCTTTCAAAGGAAAACCATAGGGTTTTTCTTTTTGTTGTTGTTTTTTGAGATAGATTTTCCACCTTATACACATTTAAAGGAACGGAAATGGCGTGGGAAGAAAGAATGGCTTGGAAGCCAGTGGAAGGCACGAAGGTATCAATAAGCCATCACGGGGGAAATGAAAGTTAAAACACACGCACAGGCGTGCACACTCATGCACACGCATGCACACACACAAGAGGAAGCAAACTGTCCGCGTTTGCCACGCCATATTCTGTGAGTATTAAAAACAATATTTTTCCAGAAACAATAGGATTTTCTCTACCCTCGCTCTTTAACAGTGTCCGGTTCATAGAATGTGTGCTGAATAAACGTGTAAGTATTGTTGAAATCTCACAGGGACTTTTCCTTCAATGATGCATGCTTCCATAATAGCCATTGTAACTTCTCTCCGCTTGTTTAGGAAGAGCCCCGAATAAATAGATCAGAAGTTTAAGCGGAAGTAATTTTTTTCCTAAATTAGCATAGAGAAAAAGATGTCACAGCTTCAAAGGAAATCTGAAAGAAGGTAGGAAGCTTCCAGACTTAGTTGAACAAAAAAGGCGGACAGAAGTCAAAGCCATCTTACCAGCCCGGATCTCAGCAGGTGCCTCCTGATCCTGGTGTTGTTAAAATACCCAGCCAGGTGTTTATCTGTGAGGCTATTATACGTGGCGAGTAACCTGAAAGAGGGAAGAGAAGAAGCCTAATATTAACGTCATGCGAGGGTTGCTTGATAACGGAGGCCATCCTTGGCACCGCTGCCTAAGCGTTGCAGCGACACGTTTGCAGACAAGTTTGACAGCCCAGGGAGCCTGTTTGTTCCAGGTCCTTGTGATTAAGAGGCGCTAAGCAGCGGTCTTGCTTTGGGTTGGACAAAAGCTGAAGGCCAGAAAGTATAACAGTTAAATGTCGGTGAGAGGCCCGAAGATGGAAAATATGCGCCTCCGGTCTTGGGAGAAGAGAAGCCACCCAGAGAGAACTCAGCAGTGGAGTGTGGCATGGGAGCAGCAACATCTTGCGCAAGCCTGGGTCTCTCCTGGGCACCCCTATACTCAGACACCTCCAAACACCATGCTTCTCTCCTGCCAGCAGGCACACATGCCGGCCTCCATCTGACAGGGGACAGTGGCCCGGGGACACACAAGTGCCCCCTCGGAAAGTGGCCCCTGGTGTCCACATGACCGCTACACTTCCCAGTGGGGAAACCCCGCTCTACATTTCTCATCCCACGAGGCTCTGAAGCCCAAGTGTACCCCGCGATTCTCAGCGCCCTACCTGATGCTGCCTGCTGCGATCCCAAGCTAATAACGTGCTTAGAAAATCGAGACGTTGTTTTCTTATTCCATTACTCCTTACTGATGTAAAGTCCTAACTTGTAGCTTACCAGTTTTTATTTGCCGAATTTACCCATAGTCGTCTAGACAATTTCATTAATCCAATACCTACTACAAAAAGACTTCAATATTATTAAAGTTTTTAAATATTATCTTGTGTTTTTAGGATGTTTTATTTTTAAAAGTTAAAGGAAGTCAGAGGTAGTGACACCCATCTGAAACCCTAACAGTCCACTTGAGACACAGAAGCTGGAGGATTTCAGTTATAGGCCTGACCTACACACATTACGGCTGCCTCAACTTAGAACTCTTGGCTATATACTATACCTTAATACGTGCTTAAGTTCTGTCTATGATTTAGGGTAGGGAACTAAAAACTACTCTTTTAAAATTTTATTTATTGATTTTGCATCCTGGCCACAGTGTCCCCTCCTTCCCCTCCTCCCAGTCTCCTCCACCCTTACCCCTACCCCTGTTCCCATCCCAATCTACTCCTCAAGGAACCTACTCTTTTAACCTAGTTATTATGCACCTTAGAAAATGTGCACATAAATACATGTACGCACATGCAGACGTTTATACATGTATGTACACAGCAAGAAAGCCTCACCACAGCTCAGTCCTAAAAATACTCGTGTATTGCAATAAAGATTTGCACCCCGAACTCTTGATGACAATGGCTGGCTTTTAGCTTCTTCTGAGCCTAGAGTAGGGACTCATCTTACAGTCTGGAGAGAACAACCGCAACAATTTTATTTGGCTGTTTGCTTGCAAGAACTTAATTATGTGGAGATTAAATTGGTGATCTTTTCCTGTCTCTTTTCTCCTTAACAACCCATCACAGCAAAGTTCCATGCTGCCAAATGGTCAGGAAAGTTTAATTTTGTCGACGAAAGAGACTGAAAAGCAGTAACAAAGCCAAGAAGCCAAGGTACTACATGAAGCCTACAGACAGGAACAACGGCAGAAACCATTATTTTCCTGGGTTTATGTAAAAAGACAACCCAAGAAAGAGTCTCACATGGAGGCACACACAAAACCAGCCTCCGACGCCGCTTTGAAGACATCTTTTAAATGAACGGTCTTGGTGTCCTACAGTTCATCAAAGGTTTGCTGTCTCTGAAAGGTCAGCCTTATATCCCTTACCCTTTCTGAATCTCAGAATCTCTTTTCAGTTCTTCATTTCTAAAAGGTGAGCAGGTGCCTCTCAGGCCTAACAATCACGACTGCACGGTTCGCGGATTCTTAAGATAAGTCATTACAGGAATATCATATACAGTCTTTTGTCTGTCTTGCAGATCCAAGCTTAAAAAAAATCAATACTTTTGGAATAGCTGGAGGGTGTGGAAACCCTGATTAAATGATGTGAGGTTAAAAACTTGGGAAGACAAGGGCCTCAGCCTGGAGATTGATGAACAAAATAGCCCTTCTTTTAATTCGGTCGCCGCGGCTTTTAAATACTTAGGTTCTAATAGCAGCGCCCAGTCAACTTTGGTATCACCCAATTATAATCCCCCTCTGTTCTCTCAGTTCCTTCCAGAGGAATATGTGGGCACGATTCCCTGCCTCTAGTCCCACAACATGAACGAGTATGTGTGCAGGCTATCCTATCCCTAGTCCACAGAGGCTGGGGGAGTGTATGCACGATGCCTCCCCTCTCCAGTCCCACGGAGGCTGAAGGAGAACAAGCTGGAAGACTTTGTTTGCTTTCTTTTTGTTCTGATTTCCAGGGAAATGCAGGTCCTGGCTGTGATATTATTTGTGGAAATAACTCCTCCCACAACTGGCATTACATGTCACACCAACAGTTGTGGTAACTTGGCAGACTTAGCACGACCACCAGGCTCACTCAGCATTGAGTAAGTTTGTTTTTAAGCTGGGACCATAAACCAATAAGTTAGCTGATAGTGAGAAATCATATCAAGTAAATGATGGACATCTAGCGTGATGGTCAACTTTCAATCAATCCTTAACAATGTCAGCCTAGTTCTGATCATCGGGCCTTGTTTTCCAGGGAAATGGTCCCAGTCGGTATGGCCAAGGCTACACTCTCTCAGTCCTTTTGCTCTCCTCTTTATGAATGTTTGGCATGGGCTCAGCCTCCCTTTGACTCTAATGAGCCTTTGCTCTTAGTAAGCCATGGGAAGCTTACCTCAAAATCATAAACTTTATGTGAGTGTTCATGCACGCATGTGTGTATGTGTGTGCATGTGTGTGCGCGTGTGTGCGTGTGCGCACGTGGGAATGTGCAAGCATGCCTGTGTGTGCATGTGTGTGTGCATGTGTGCACATGTGTTTGGTGGAGTGCATTCGCGCATGTGTGTGTTTGTGTTTGTTTGCATATTGCACATGTGTGTGTGTGCACTCGTGTGTGTGCATGTGTTTCCTGTTTTTTTTTTTCTAGAGAACGAACTTTGTAGATGAAAACACCAGCCCAGCCACAGATGTGGGTTAGCAGAGCTCTGTTTTTTCTGAATTCAGGATAAAATTTCTGATTTTGTTTTCTGTATTGGTTCAGATAAGGTTGCCCGACCTGGGCCTGGTGACTGAGGTACTTCTCCCCCACGCATGCATCAGCTATCAGACGTGACCTTCCTGGTCCACAGTCACTGAGCTGTGATTTCCTTTGCTCGATGTCCATCACTGACCCCATCGAGACCCCCTCACTAGAAGGCCATGCCATTCACACAGACCCCACCAATCACTGTCCAGACCAGTCTGGCTGCCTTGATTTCTTTTTTTAATGATGGAACAGCTCCTGTCCACTCTCCAGCACCTGAGGGGACAAAGCTTGTGTTTGCACACCCTCTCCTTCCTGCTCCCCTCCCCATACACACCCTCTCCCTCCTGACCCCCCTCCCCATACACACCCTCTCCCTCCTGATCCCCTCCCCATACACACCCTCTCCCTCCTGACCCCCCTCCCCATACACACCCTCTCCCTCCTGACCCCCCTCCCCATGCACACCCTCTCCCTCCTGACCCCCTCCCCATGCACACCCTCTCCCTCCTGAGCCAATGCCCAGTAACCGGAGCCCGGCTTTCCCAGTGGCAGCTTTTCAGTGACCATCCCTGAACCCTCACTTCCCACCAGGCAGGATCTCCAGAAACAATAATCGGCTGATTCCTAACAGTGCCTGTGTCTGGCCCCAAATAGTGAGTGAGTCTGTCCCATTAAAAAAAAAAAAAGGAAAGGCCCAGTAATCATCATTAGTGACCAACATTTATTGAGATTCCTGGTATTTTTAGGTCATTCTGGAAGGGTGGGTGCAGAGATGTCACAGGCACTGTATTCAAGAGTCCCAAGCCAGTTGGAGATGCACACACAGGCATACACTTACACACGTGTGTGCGTGCCGCGCGCACGCGCGCACACACACACACACCACATGTGCTAATGTGAACTCACATTTGCTCTCCATCTCCATCTCAAGAGTGATGAGGGATGTCTTTGGTGGTTTGGTTCAGTGTATACAGCTGCTTACACACAGGCTTGACAACCACGTTTGAATTCAAGACTTCATGGGGTGGAGAGAAGGCTCCGCCATTAAAGGCTAGACGCGCAGTCAAAAACGTAAGCCCTCATGAGGTGACAGGGAGAACAAACACCCGAGAGTTGTCCTCTGACCTCCACAGGTGTGCCGTGGCGTGTGCAGTCTACATGTGTGCGCACGCACACACACACCACACACACACACTAATTAATTATAAAGCACATCTCTCAGGGTCCTGAGAGATGAGAAACAACATGCCAGGTATTCTGTTGAGGACAAGGTCACAGTAAATTTCTATTTCTCACCCCAAGGTACTTCCCAAAACTCAGGCGCCTTCGCCTTCCAGCAGATGGCCTGGCACCATAGAGATAACCCATCGCTTAACAATGCTTCCTTAACACCTGTACTCCCTGGCGAGATCTCCTGCTCATCACCTGCTTCTGACAGCCCCCTGCCTCATTCCTCCCTGTCTAACAACCTCCAATGTTCCTCTGCCCATCCCAGGCCATGCTCCCCTACATAAGCTCCTATGAAAATTCTCAATAAACAGAGCTTGATTGTCTTGCTCTCATTCAACGTGTCTCCTGTCTCCCCCTTTTGTCTCCCCCCCCCAGGATAACCTGTCTTGACTTGGATCCACAGGTTGGGGCAGTATTCCAAATTCTAAAATGGAAACCTCCCAAACTAGATGGCTACTCAATGTCAGTCAGGCCTAAGAACCCCTCGCAAAAGCAATAATACCTTCTCCTGAACCACACTCATGAGCTCATTCCTCCAGACTGTAGCACACTTCCACCACAACCTGCCTCCCCGCCCCGGCCCCCCCCCCCCCCCGCACTCTCATCCTTTGGGAGGGGCTAGGGCTAGATAGCTGTTGACAGAAGTGCCTGTCCCGTCCTGTCCTGTAGCCATTCAGTCCCAAATAAACACGCCAAGGCTTTTATATTAATGACAAACTGTTTGGCCTGTTGCTCAGGCTTATCAGCAGCCAACTCCTACGGCTTAAGTTAACCCACAATACTTATCTGTGTGTAGCCTCATGACTTGGTACCTTTTCTCAGCAAGGCAATCCCATCTTGCTTCCTCCACGTCTGGCTGGCGATTGCATCTCTGCCTTCCTCTTCCCAGAACTGTCCTAGTCGGGTAGCACTGTCTGTACTCCCTGCCTGGCTGCTGGACAGTCATCGTATTATTAAACCAACACCAGTGACAAACCTTTACAGTGAACAAGAGCACTATCTCAAATCAGACTGCGATTTGGTCCCCCTCCACCCATACGAGCCCCCGTCCCAGGAACAGGTGACCTGACTGCCTCTGCCTCAGTCTTTTCTGCCTCCGCAGATGGAAGCACAGACCAAGCCAAGAGCTCCGCCGATGAACAACAAAGAGGGTTTTTACCTCCGGTTTCAAACGGCGTCTTCATTTCCACGTGAGGCTGCATGCATGGAGCGGCTCTAACCCTTCGGAATGCCGGAGCGCTCTGTGTCTGAGTACATGCTCACGAGCAAGATGGAAACCTTCTCCCAACCAGCTTTCACGCCCCTCCCGATGCAAGGCTGGCTTTCCCTTTGTGCGTGTTCATCCTGACGTCGCCCTGGTGGGATCTAGGGTCACCATGGAAACAGACCTCTTGGCTTGTCTGCAAGAGTGTCTAGACTGTGTCGATGAGCATGGGAAAGCCTGCCCTAAGCCCGAGCGGTGCGATTCGTGGGACCAGGGTCAAAGCACGAAGCAACCTGAGAACCAGCCTGCGTCCCTCTGCTTCCAGACTGTGGGTGCCATGTGACCCACCACCTGCCATAATGACGTCACTCTTAAACTGTGACCTACAATCAATAACCCTTGCCCACCTCATAGAGCCTTTGCCCAGCGTTCTGTAACAATGCTAAGAATAGCTAAGAACAGCCACGAATGCACACACCTAGCATGCGCCTCAGGAGGCTTCCAACTCCGCCTGCTACGCAGCTCCACACCTGAAGGCACTGGTGCCAAACGCACCTTTTTATTTTCTGCACCGGTTTTTAATAGACTTGGGCTGCTACCATGGGATACCACAGCTTAAGAGGCTTAAAGGACGGACGGACAGACAGACAGACAGACAGAGGTGCATTTGACACTTCTTCAGAGTTTTGGGTGCTGAAAACCTGAGGTCTGTCTACTGTGTGATGGAGATCCTGGTGAGGGGCTGTTTGCGAGGAATAGCTGGGGACTGACAAGAGAAATATGCCCCCCCCAGGTGGTACAAAAACAGCAATTACCCATGGCTTAGTCCACTCCCCCGACCCAGTCCACCTTTAAACACCATTCACAGCTGAGATTGGGATCTCAGCATGGGTTGTGAGAAATTCAAACTCAGTCCAGAAGGAAGGGCAGGGGCCATCAAGCTTTGCGGGTAAAGGAGGAGCAGGGTTAGGTTGAGCCACTGGCCACATACGCTTCAGGAACCTCCTTCTCTGATGTTTACCAAATAAGTGTGAACAGCTCTTGTTGGGTCTTGCTAAGGAGGCTGCTAAGCGTCTTTATCACTCTCCACCTTCCTTTTTGAAACAGGGTGTTTGTCCCTGACCCTGCAACTCATTGCTTTGGCAACACTAAGCGGTCAGCGGGTCCTAGGGAGCCTCCGGTCTCTGCCTCCCCTGTGTCCTGTGTCTCACACACACCACTATACGAGGCTGCCTGAACTCAGGCCCATGCTTTAAGGACTGAGCCTTGTTCTTAGCCCGACATGAAAATCTGTATAAATTAAATTGACACACATGTAACTTTCATTTATAGTTAGCCTTTAGCACCAAAACAATGTGTTAAAACCTTTAAAATAGCCAATATCTTAAACATATGTTTCTTCAGTCTGTTTTAAAAAGACTTGTTTGGAGAGTATATATATATATATATATATATATATATGTATATATATATATATAAATTTTTTTGTCCGAGGCAGAGTGGTATACATATGTAATCCCAGCAGTCAGGAGGCTAGAACAAGATTATAAATTCAAGGTGAGCTGGAGCTACAGGAGCAATGCCCCCAGAGAGAAAGAGATGCTGGCACAACCGGCATAGTTTTATTTTAACCAAATGTGATAACGAACCCATCTGAGCCAATGTCACTAGTATTCATTCGCTGCCATTACTGTAACAACATACCAAGGGCTAGCAGCTTATCCAGCACAGAGAGTCATTGCTTTCACACCTCCAGGAGAAGAAAAGTACAAAAATAGACCCCAAGGGACTGAGACCAGTATGTCGGCACAGCTGCGTTCCCTCTGCAGACCCAGGGAGAACCAATTCTCTTTTCTAGTTCCCAGAGGCACTGTGCACCTGGGATGCTCGCTGTCCTGCATTGTCAAGACCAGCTGTACACACCCTGCTCTTCTTAACGATGCCATCTGTCCTTCTCCTGCCTCCCTTTCCACAGCTGAGGGCTTTGCCCATCCCACAAATCCCATAAGACAAATCTGGGAGGCCAGCTGATCAACATCCACGGACCTACCTGCACCCTCCTGACACCGTGTGAAAGGGTAAATACCCAGTTACCTTGAGAATCAAGACACCGGTACCTTTATTGGTCATATTTTATTGGCCAAGAGATGTAGCGGGAGTTTCTTTCCGGCCTGGTCCCACAGCCAGTTAGCCCCAAATAAACACACAAAGATTTATATCAATCTATAAACGGTTGGCCGATGGCTAGGGCTCCTTACTGGCTTGCTCTCTCTTAATCATTAACCCATAACTACTTATCTGTGCATTTCTACATGGCCTTATCTTACCAGAGAACCCATGGTGCATCGTATGCTCCTGGTCTCTGCGTGAGGTCTCTCTCCGGCCTCCTTCTGTCTTCCTCTCCCCAGCCTATTCCAGGTCTGATAGCCCCGCCTATCCTTCCTGCCTGGCTACTGGCCAAACAATGTTTCAGTCATCAACCAATAAAATTTAAAAAAAAAACACATGTATACAGAAGGAGGACATCCCCCATCAAAGAGAATTTTCCTCATCCAAGATGCACTGGATGCGAAAAAGAGGCCACACTTGAGTGGTAACATGTGGACAGTGAGTCTTCGTGCAACTGGCCAGCACTTTCAAAAAGACAATCCCTGCTATTTGTCGGCCGGGCCTAGGCACTGTAGCTAGAGGGGAAAACTTTGAGTCGGAACCCGGCAGGGTTCTGCGAGGTGGAAATCAGGTCACAGCCGCGGCCTGGAGTAGAATCCACAAAGCCAGGCCTGGGTCCCATGCTTGTGTGAGGGGCTGCACAGCACGGCACACCTGCCCGGTTCTCCCTTGTTCATTCGTTTTGTTACTTTTCCAAAGAGCGTAGGCTGGTCTGCACTCAGGGTCCTGAGTGGTGGGATGGTTTTAGGTTTCCTGGTTGCATTTCTCTTCCTCATCTTCTTTCCACTCTACCGTTAGCGGAACCTGTCTCGTGCCCTCCCTTAGTCCGTGTTGTTCCCTCTCGCATACGCGCTTCTGTCTGCTGGCGTTCTTTTGATGCTCTCGTATGAACTGGGCCTCATCCTGCTTCTCTCCTCCCATTCTTCAGGACCAGCCAGCTCATTGTATACCTTACCGTCGTTGACCTTTTTTGGACTCCTCGAAAGCTACTGGAGTCCAGGAAGTTACTGTTGGCAGTAAGTTATCAGACATTTTCATAGTGGTCTACAGGATTTGGTTATTAGACATTTTCATTAGACGGCAGTTGGTTATTATACATTTTCATAGTGGTCCGGGTTGCTTACACTCCTGGACTCTGGTAGGGATCATGCAATGCCCTCAGCCTCGGGATTGAGAAATAAGCTGCTGGGATGCCTCAGCTCAGTCAGGGGAGAAGTCTACTATAACTTACTTCTGCTTAAACACTGCAGAACCTCTACCGAGAGAATGAGGGTCATTTTTAAAATTCCAGTCATCCACCTCATCCCAGAATCACAGATCTCATTTGAGAAATACAAGAAAAACAAGAATCAGGGAAATACAACTCCCTTAAAACTCATCAGTCTCACAAAAATCGACTCCAACGGAGAGCAATTTCAGTGATGCTCTAGACAAAGAATTCAAAAGGATGATTAAAGAACGTTCAGCAATATAAGAGAGATCATGGAAATCAATGAGCTCAGAACACAAACACCTGAAAGAAAGAAGAAAGTAAACACAGGATATGAGTGAGGAATTTAGTAAAAAGATAGAAATCCCAGGGAAAAAAAGCAAAATTTTGTAAGTGAGAAGTTTAGCAAGTAGGGGCAAGTATAGGGGTGTTATTTAAGCCTTACAAAAAGAATGGATCCAGTAGGAAAAAGACTATCGGGATGTGAAGACAAAGCAGATGAATTTTTTTTTTTTTTGGTTTTTACGAAACAGGGTTTCTCTGTATTGTTTTGGAGGCTATCGGTCCAGCCTGGCCTCGAACTCACAGAGATCCGCCTGCCTCTGCCTCCTGAGTGCTGGGATTAAAGGCGTGCGCCACCACTGCCCGGCAAAGCAGATGAATTTTTAAAAATTCAGACAGTGAAAGAGACAAAACAGAAATAAGATATGAGCAAACCCTTCAAGAAGGTACAGGACTCACTAGAAAAATCAAATCTTTGAATCATGGTCGTAGAGGAAAGAAGTTAAAACCAAAATTAATCAGAGGAGATCAAGAAAGTTGCCTCATATTGATGAAGGAGCCAATCCATCTAGAGGACATTATAGTTCTAAACATATATTTGTACCAAACGCTGACATTCAATTTCATAAGCACTACTTGATTTGAAGGCACAGACTGACACCAACACAATAATAGGGGTGATTTCAACAGTCCACTATCACCTGTAGAAAGGTCATCCAAACAAACAAACAAACAAAAACTAAGTATTCATGACATTATAGATCAACTGCCCCGAGTGCCTCAGTTAGAGCCCACATTCTTTGGGGCAACTCATGCTGCCCTCTATGAAACAGAAACTATATTAAGGTACAAAGCAATCTTTAACAAAATTTAAACAATTAAAACGGTTTCTTGATTTTCATCATAGAATTAAATTAGAAGTCAACAGGAAGAACTGTAGGGCATTCACAAGCCGGTGGAGGTGAAGTGATACTTATGAATGATAGTAGGCCACTGAAGAATGGCAGGGAAGCTTCCACAATGTTTATAGTTGAATGAAAACGGAAATACAGCACATGAGAGCTGTTGATTGATCATGGGATAAAAGCAGAAGGTCATAGCCACGAATGCTAAAATAAACAAAAAATCAGGCAACTCTCAAGTAACCCAATGAGCCCATTTCAAGGTGTCAGAAATCAACAACAGCTGACCATAAAGACAATAAGTAGAAAGGAATAATGAAGGCCAGGGCAGGGATTAATGAAGTAGAAACCTGTACAAAGAATATATGAAACAATGAGTTGGTTCTTCAAACTCCAGTGCTGGTGAGGGAAAGAGAATCTCATGCACTGCTGGCAGGGATGGAAGCCGGAATGAAGGACCCTCAAAGACCACAGCTAGAACTTCCATCGAACCCGGCTATACCACCTCCACACGCACACAGGACTCTCATCAACACACCCCAGAGGTACCTGCAATACCATTTTGGCGAAGCACAATTAACAGTGGACAAGCCAAGGGACGAGCCGAGGTGCCCATCAAAGATGAATGGAAAAAGGGATGAAATTGTATCATTTTCTGGAAGATGGATGTTACTGGGAGTCATGATACGACGGTCCACACAAGATAGCTATTGACAACCACGATGGCTAACCCAATTAAGAGTTCTGAGTGCTTTTCAATGATGGCCAGACCAAGGGTCCTGTGCTTCTACAAAGTCTCCTGGTGCTCCAGCTCAGGGATAGAGTTTTTAAAGGCAAAAACTTCAAAGATACATCCAAGTTAGGTGAGTGTAAGAGCAACCTTGACACACTCATTCTTGGCAGAGCAAAGTAGTCATTTTAGACATAACTTGTCAGTTATATTGGTTAATACATTTGGACCATAGTCCAAGCCAAGGAGATCTCAATAGTGTTACCGAGGCAGACGTGACTGTTGGGAGAGGGCAGAGAGGCTGAGAGCTGTCTAAACATAAAACGGAGTCAGGGCAGTGTTATGTTACCTTAGGCACTCCATTTCCACATTTTAGTTGTTGTTGTTACTTTTAAAATTTTGATTTCAGTTAAGAGGTAAATACTAAGTTCTAAGCATCTTTAGCTTAACCAATGCAAGGTTTTTTTTGATGAATTTGAAAAGACAATTTATTCATGAAGTAACCATAAAAGATACAAAGGTATATTTTGAAAACTAGTAGCATCAGTTTTCTGGAGTGTGTTGTACTCTGACAACACATGAGACACGTGTTAAATGCTCTAGATTTTTTTTTTCAAGATACTACTGGTGGCCTGAAGTTGGTGGGTGGAGTCCTACCACAGAAATTGACAAATATCATGCACATATATCAAGGCTCTTTTTTTTAATCCCCTGAAAATCCAGATATTAGAAGTCTGAACAGAAAAAAAAAGTGGTGTGATACACCCAAGGGGAATAGGCCACATGGCCCATGACATATGTGCATCTGGGACTCTGCCTGGCATTTCACATTCAATATGTGACCAGAGTGCTCACTTAATCTCTTCTATTCCCCGACTCTCACATAAGAACATAGGATTCTGCCAAGCACAGAGCCATTTTCAGCTGCATTTCCATTAAGAAGTATTATGCAAGAAATTTCTTTACATCACCACAAAAAGGAAAAGCTTCACCTTGCCCGAACATGGTATTTTATGCTGAGTAGAACAGAATCAAGCGAGACTCATGAGAATAAGCACAGTTTTATTGTAGAAAGATGAAAACTCTGGTTTGAGTTTGAGAGGTGATTTGCATTTCAGATGGCACTAAATTTGCAATTTGTAGAGTTTGACAGTGTTCAAAGAGGGTCCGTGTCAAACCTCTCCTGCCCACTCAGGCCTCTGAGTCAGACCTGTGAAATACGTCTGCAGCTCAGGAATCAAGTGCTTGCTTCGGACGGCTTGTTCAGCTGAGCTCAGACAGTGCTGGCTTGTCTGCCTGTTCATCGCCTTGATGTTAATGACAGAAAGGCTTTGTCTCTTGACCCAAATTCTTCATCCATTTCAGCCTACTCGAAAATTTGCAAGATTGCATCGAATTCCAGCTCCAGGAACAAACTTGTCGTATTTCTCTCAGTCAACAAAGTCTAAGGTTCGAATCTCATCAAGACTACTCACAAAGAAGTAAATGTATCTGAATTGAAATGCCATCTCCAAACAAAATAGCCAAGAGTGGTACCGGTAAGCAGAACAAAATGGTAAACTCTAGAAAATTCAGTTTTCTGTCCTTGCAAACCTCATGACCGTTATGCAAAATGTTAGAATATTTATAAAACATCAGAGCATGCATCGCTTCTAACGAGGCATAATAACTTTTTACTGACAGCAGAGAAATCCATATTGCTCCCCCTCTTAATGCAACATTTGATGAAATAAATGCAGGATAAAAGCAGAAACATGGTTCTAATTCCACTCGCGCACTCTGAGGGACTGCATTTTCTTCTCTTGACACTCATCAACGCCTACTTCCTGCTGTGGGAAACTTGTCTTCAGGTCTGAAGACATACTTACTTGGAGGTCTTGTGATGCCATTTGAATATGCAATTTGCATACTTAGTGGTCGGTCGCCTAGGATCTAGCTAGCCCAGTCATTTCATTCAGGATACTAAAGCTCTGAAAGTGAGTATGTTCCGTTGGTAGACACAAATCAAAGGGCTAAAAGAAAACAAACTAGGTGGGAAAGAGAAAACATCTTCAATGAATGGTGCTGGTATAACCTGTTGTCTACATGTAGAAGAATGCAACTAGATCCATGTCTTTCCCCAAGCACAAAACTCAAGTCCAAGTGGATCAAAGACCTCAACATAAATCAAGTTACACTGACCCTGATGGAAGGAAAAGTGGGAAGTAGCCTTGAATGCATGGGCACGGGAGACCACTTCTTAAATATAACACCAGTAGCACAGACACTGAGAGCAACAATCAATAAATGGGATCTCCTGAAACTGAGAATCTTCTGTAAGACAAAGGACACAGTCAACAAGACAAAACGGCAGCCTGCAGAATGGGAAAAGATCTTCATCAACCCCACATCTGATAGAGGACAGAGCTCCAAAATATTTAAAGAACTCAAGAAAATTAGACATCAAAATACGAAATAATCCAATTTTTAAAATGGGGTACAGATCTAAACAAAGAGTTATCAACAGAAGAAACCCAAATGGCTGAAAGACGTTTAAGGAATTGCTCAGCTTCCATAGTCATCAGGGAAATGCAAATCAAAAATGACTCTAAGATATCTTATACCAGTCAGAATGGCTAAGATCAAAAATACTGAAGACAGCTTATGTTGGAGAAGATATGGAGTAAGGGGAACTCTCCTCTACCACTGCTGAGAATACAAACTTGTGCAGCCACTTTGGAAATCACTATGGTGGTTTCTCAGAAAAATTGGAAATCAATCTACCTCAAGACCTAGCTAACCAATCTTGGGCATATACCCAGAGGATGCTCAGTCATACCATAAAGACATTTGCTCAACTGTGTTCATAGCAGTATTATTAGTAATAGCCAGAACCTGGCAACTACCTAGATGTCCCTCAACCAAAGAATGG